AATCAGCTGCGCATCCAGCGCTCCGAAGTCCAGCAGCCTCCTGGCTGAGCTCATTCAGCACCGCCTGATACGATGGCTCCTGAGCTCAAGTGCTCGAAACGCGGGCGCTCTTGAAAAGGCTGAACAAATCCCGGCGCGGCACCTTTGATATTTTTTTTGATGTGTGGTTTCGTGACTTGATGTGACAAGGCATGCTTTGTGGGACTTACTAAACCGGTTCTTTGGCAACCAACAAAGGCATGCTGCCCGAGGGGGCCCCCATCAGCTATGTTCAATGCTCATATCAATCAAAATGACATATGGCTGTGGGTCAAAATCCCGTACCCCCAGTGAACATCCCAATCCCCACTAAAATAGACTAAAACGGGTGGTGCACCTACCCCAGCATGGGATGCCATTGGTGTTGACCCACGGCCATAGTTCATCCAAAGCGCCAGCGCGCAAACCCGCCAGTCCTGGGCCGGGATGCCTGTAGCTCTTGCAGCACCAGCAAGACGGCACAGACCCCATGATCAGGGCATCCACCAATGGCTGGTGGAGTTCATCCGCACCATGCGCTTATGACTCAAGCACCGGGCTCTCAGGTCGTCAAATCTCTCTGAGCCAATGGCTCTCGTGTCGACCGGGGTTGCGAACATCTGGACAAAGCACCGCTTGCCCGTCCAGCGTGCCCGTCCCGGCAAACCGCCATCCTCAGTGCACACAGGGCCTTTTGCGCGGATGCCGAATCAAAGCCTACTTCTGGGCAATGCCATTCTTGACCAGGGGGGAATGAAGCTTGAAACGGTGGAAAGCCGCCAAATGGTGCCAATATGCTTCAACACATCTTGCAAGGAAGTAAAAAAGAAGAGAAAAAACCTCCAAGAGCCCACGCAAGACTGGTGACAGACTGCACGGTTCTGGAAACTGAGACGCGGGCAGAGGGTGCATGCCCTGGCTGCCGGCGCCATGAACACATGGCAGCTTCAGCCCTTGAGCCGAATGCTTGGCCATGCCACACCTGACGTTTTGACTCTCAACCACGAATCACGTTTTGCCGACCAATCTCTGAGCCTGTTCGGGTCAAGTCTAGTTGGTTCCTTTGCTCTCACAACATCTGCCGGCATTCCTTCCCCGACAATGACCTGCATTGCTCATCTGCCCAGTCGTCCCCTCGAGGCAAATGGAGAGGTCGTCCGGCCTTTGGTGAAATAGCGCAGCTGCGCCAAAATCTGCAAATCGGCGATGGTCGGCTTGTCACCGCAGAAGAAGGCCCCCGTGGCCTCGGCAACAGAGGGCCAGGTGGATGTTTGGCAGGCCGGGCATTTTTCCGGCCTCGAGCTTCTGGGTGAAAAAGCCCATGAACTTTGGCAAAGCCTCCTTGAGGAAGGCCTATGCTGACCGCCATTTCAGCTTGAGTCCTCCCCCTGCATTTCAATGTAAAACATGGGTCTGATATTCGATTCGGGACCCTTTGGTGGACATCATTTAGGTGCACTTCGGAGGGGGGCACCTACTAAAACTCATAGCCGACATAGGAATCAAGCTCCAGAATTCAGCACATTTGGCACAGGCTGCCGGGCTTGCCTCCCGCATTCTTTTGACCGTAGCCTCCTTCTCCGGCCACTCCTGCATCCCAAAAAGAACACAAGAAGCCATGCCAAACCATGCCCAACACAAGTGGAGCAGCCTCGGGATACCCATAGATCATGTGGCGCATGCCCAAGTACCTGGCTCCGCGGAAAACAAAAATCCATAAGCCAAGGGCTACAGTAGATCAGACCTGGGGCTGCTGCAATGCTGGCTGCCAAGCTTTCGTCATATCATCTGACAAGCCGAGCACCTGCCAGGTGAATTGGTACTTGATGCAGACACCCTCCATATCCGAAACATGCTCTCTCCAGGTGTAGATGCATCATTGTCATGTTCATTATCGTTGTCATTGTCGTTGTTTTCGTCGTCACCACATCGTCATCATCATCATAATCATCATCGTCATCGTCATCATCATCGTCATCGTCGTCATCGTCGTCATCGTCGTCATCGTCATTGTCACCCTCATCATCGTCATTGGAAAACCTAAGCCATGTCCCAACCATTGCCTAGGATCTTTCTCCGGCAGCAAAGCTTTGTGATTGGAAGCGCACAAATTAAAAGTCAGCGACATCAGAGCTGCGTTCAGAGCCAGCCTCCTCAATCTCCAACATAGTGTCTGCGTCGGCAGGGTACAGGCTGTTGGTGGAGTCAAACCTCACGTCCCGCAATAATGACTGGCGTCATGGGCATCCTTTTACACATCCCCTGGGTGTCTGGCTTTCGGGCCACCCAGCGCATCATTGCCACACTCTGGGCGAAGGTCTTGACTGAGCCATCCGCGTTTGTGACCTAACGGGAGTCTGACTGGCCGGCTGACTGGCTGACTGCCCAAAAGGCCCAAAGGCGCCCTCCGACGACTCGGGCGCAAGCTGTCATCAAGGGAAGCTGGCCATAGGGAGTCGTCGGCTTCATGGCGCCCCACTCTTCGAAGTTGATGCGCTTGTCCTGGCGAAAAACACTGCATGTCCGGCAAGGGCGGACACACTTCAGTGATGCGAATCAACAAGCAGCGAGGAAAGCAAAACCAAAAGTCCCGTGCTGCGTTCGCCGCTTGTCGCAAGCCAGATGCGCAGGGCAACAATTGCACACATCGCCCTGCTGATGACAGGACTCTCTAGCTCATGACAGTCACGTATCCAAAAGTATAGGTCTACAGGTGTTTGAGCTGCACAGCTTCCTTCCAATGATTTGGTAAGCCGTGGAAGAAAACCGAAATTGCCCAGGATCAGTTCTGCAGTCATAGGCAATGTCCAGTCATATCAGGCTGCAGGACACCGTTGCCGCAGAAAGCCACGCACAAGTACCATGTTCCCAAGCAGTCCTCGAACTCAGTGTTGGTCATCACCAATGCAAGCCGCACCTTTTCGGCTGCTGCCTGGTTTTCGGCCACAGAAGCGATTATTTCAAGTGCAGAAGGGACGGTAGTGCGAGCCTCGATGTTGAAGTAGGTGAGGGAAATCTTGGGCTTCAGCGACATGGCGCAGAAACGCTGGGAAGCACCCACTTTTGGGTCACAGGGATACCTTGCCAAAGGATCTGAGGGCTGGCGGAGTCAACGGCTAACGATCTCACGGCACAGGGCATAGTTACTTTGCCACAAAACCACACCCGTCCCACGGAATAAATGCACGATCTCCGTCTCTCTCGCTCTCTCGAACTCTCGCTCTCTCTGCCTCTCTTAAAGGGTGTGGTTTTGGGGTGGACAGGTCCGAACCAGGCAGAGCAGAATCCGTAACACTCCAGTGCGGGAGTCCTTGGAGTACAGCAAAGACAAGAAGTACCTGTCGGATCCCAAACGAGGGAAGCAAAAACCGGGAGAAGAAAAGAAAAACGCAGAGCGAGCGGACCGTCTTTTTGCTTGGCATGCTATCCATGGGTTGCCATGCAACTGCAGCCGGTATCATGCCCGGTATCCGGCACCACTTGCCTCAGGTCGAGTTGACGGCATGCCGAGCACACGGCATGCCTACAAGCCCCGGGCTCTGCACTTCTGGACCAAATCGGACCAGGGTCCGAAAGGCCCGAAGTTCCTAACACGTCGAGCGCAAGGCTTCGAAGCAGCTTCGAAAAGAAAACCAAACATGTCGGAGCTCCTTCTTTCCAGGCTCTGAGCAGCTTCGGCGTAGTTTTCCACCAAGGCCTGACCGCTTCGAGTGGGCCATGCCCGTCACCTGTAAACAGCCGCCTTTTCACCACCCTGGCTACCCCTAGAAGGACTACCCGGGGGGGGGGTTGCTTTTGAAAGCGGATCGGGTTGGGTGTAGCACAGTTGTTGCCCAACCCCAAGCCCACTTCGCAAGAGAGCCTCGAGGTCGCATCTCGGAAGCGTCCCCTCGCTCATCCGGGCAGCCAACCAAGCGCCCTGACGGAGAAAAAAACAGAAAGAGTGGCCCACATGGCTCCCACTGGCTTAGTTGAATTTCCTCACCAATCTAGGTTCCAACATATTTGTCAACTCTCACTTCCGATCCAAACTTGGGGGAGCCAAGGTGATTGCTATCTATCACACCTCGGAACCTCCAAGCCTTGGCCAGGTTTCCGAAGTCCATGGCCACCTTCCACTGCTCCTCGCGGAATCGACTCGAAACCCGCGGCTCGGCGACTCAGGGGCCACTTCCAGAAGGCTTCAACTTCGTTGAAGGCTTAAGTTGAAAGCAGAGAGAGAGAGAGAGAAGAAAAAAAAAAGAGAGAGAGAAGAGCGGTGCCTTTTTTTAATATTCTGTTCTCGCCAAGTTAAACCCCGAACTTCAAAGCTGAAGACCCAGCTGGGCCCGGTTCTCTCATCCTGCAGGGGCCGCCGTGACAGCTCGGCGGGCGCGGCGACGGCCGACTCCCAGTCGATGATGGCATCCAGCTGCCAGCCCTACAAGACATCGCCCGGAGTCCGAGGCCCAAGGTGCCACTGTCAAAACGGTTCCCACATGGCCCATGGGTCAACATCCCAATCGTACCCCCAGTGAACATCCCAATCCCCGCTAAAGTAGGTTCTAAAATTGGGTGGTGCACCTACCCCAAGATGGTACCATTGGTTTTGACCCACAGCCATATGGGTCTGAATTTCAATTAGGGACCCTTTGGTGGACACCATTGGGGATCCATGTCCACCACTTTGGAGTGCCTATTAAAGAATGAGTAGCCGTGTGCAGCCCCAAATCCTTCCACACTCCCAGACTCAAGCGAAGTCCATCCGAAGATTCTCCCCAAAGTTACGCCGATTTCACCAGGCACTTCAACCACTTTCGCGCCTGGGCAGACGGAGAGGCGAGGAGGTTCCCGCTGTTGACGTCTTGATGTAGCAGCGTTGGCTGCGATGGGCTACTTCTTGAATGTCCTCTGCGCGGGGCGGAAAGAACCTTTCTGCAGCTTTCTGCAATTAGCCAGGCCTCGCACAAAGCGATCCATCTCCTGCACGCCGATCTGAGTTTGGTCAGCGTAAAAATCGGCTCAAATGTCCCGCCTGTCGAATGAAGGCGCAGGCACCGGGCACCGCATCGCCCATCTTCTGCATGAACTGCTCCAAACTGTCGAAGTAGTGCCTTTGCTGCTCCGTGGAATTCTGTGAATGTGTGGCCCGATGTGGCTGTTGCAGCCAGGCGGCAGCGGCGAGGCGTCATCCGGGGGAATGGGATGCTCGCTCAGCTTGGAAGCAACTCCTTGAGCTATGCGGTTCCAGTCTTCCCGCGGGGCATTCACCTTGTCCTCTCATCAAGCGGTCGCGGCACTCGCGGTCATTTCGCTTCGAATTGGCAGCTCCTCCACCGTTTCGGTTGTGATGAACTCTTGGGCAACAAAGTCCAGCACGCCGATGGTCGTCTCACAGCAGCCGGTGAAGAGGATGTCAGGCACGCGAACTCCTGGAGCTCCGCTGAGCGCTCAACTCCCCGCGCGTGCGCGCATGCGCGCGCGGAGTACATTTCTCGGAGGGCCGCCGGCCTGCCCGTCGAGCTAGGCGCATTGCCTTTACGATCTGGTTGCCGGAGATGTGGAAGCTGAGCGGCTGGTCGCCCACCTAGTGCCAAGCGTGTCTGAATATGCAAACTGGCAAAAATGATGCCCGGTTGGCCTGAGATCCCACGATCTGCACGATGACCTTGGCATAGGACTTCCCCTCCTGCGGGAAAACAAGAAAAAACGTGCAAGCCATCCACATTTGGTCATGGGTCAAAAGCCCGTGCCCCCAGTGAACATCCCAATCCCCACTACAATAGGTTCTAGAACGGGCGGTGCACCTACCCCAAAATGGGATCCCAAAACAGTTTTGACCATCACAGCCATTCCAGATCCCTCAGAAATTCTCCTGAGTCACTGGTGGCGAGACCTCCACCAGCCAGGTGGAGTGAAAGCTGGTCTTGAGACACTTACAGGAGGCCACCACGCTGCCTGGCACGGGAGCCGGGCCTACGGAAGGCTGCGAAGTCTCGCTGTTTCTCAGGGAAAAAATAGGGAATGACCCGCTCCCAACCATTCCATTCAAGCAAATCCTGTTCAGAGGCATGCCGGAATGGTTTTGGCTCGAGGTTTCTTCCCCCCACAATTCATTCTTCAGCCATTTTTGGTGCGGTGTAGGTCCAGGCAAAACTGGCGTGAGGGCGTAGGGCCATTCAACCATATTCCAACTGATTAGTAGCCAGCAACTGCTTTTCCGGGAAAAGCTTGGTCTCCGCCTTGCTTGGCGAATTCGGCCACCACCTCAAGGGGCAAATCCACGATGCATCTCTCCAGCACTTCACCGATCCTGTCAGCACAACTCCACTCGCTGACCTTGCTGACCCATGGTGGCCCTTTCTGATGGCGACCAAGGCTTCCCTGTCAAACCTGAACGAGTCTGCAAGCAGCCATTTGGCTGTGGCTCAAATAAACGTGCCAAAATGGCACCTTGGTAAATGGAACCAAAGACTAGAACCCGCGTAACCCTAGCTCGTTAATTTTGAGCCACCCCCATTTCGGAAAACCAATCTCAAAACAAGGCTTGGCAACCACCCAGGTAGGAAAACGGCAGATCGTGCGTGTTGTCGAACGGTTATGCGGAAATTGTGTTCATCCATTTCTCCATTGCAACTAGTTCTGTAAAAATGAAGAAAGTACGTTGCAAAAGTCGTTCTAAATGAATTAAACGATTGGTGTTTTTGGCTTCCCTTTAAACCCAAAAAACCGGGGTAAAGCACCCTCTATTAAAAAAAACTAGACAACGAGTGGCCCGGAAGCAAAGAGGCAAGTTGATGCAGGTGAAGTAACTCTCGAAAAGTTAGCATGAGAAGTTGGCAGGCAAAGTAATTCTCAAAAACTTGGCATGAGAAGCTAGCAGGTGAAATAACTCTCGAATAGTTGGGTCGCAAAGTTGGCGGGTGAAGTTATTCTCGCAAAGTTGCCATGAGAAGTTGGCAGGTCATGTAATTCTCGAAAAGTTGGCATGAGAAGCTGACAGGTGAAGTAACTCTCGAAAAGTTGGCTGGCGAAGTTGGCGGGTGAAGTAACTCTCGGAAAGTTGGCAAGAGAAGTTGGCAAGAGAAGTAACTCAAAAGAAAAGTTGGCTGGCGAAGTTGGCAGGTGAAGAAATTCAAGAGAAAAGTTGGCATGAGAAGTTGACAGGTGAAATAACTCTCAAAGAGTTGGCGTGAGAAGTTGGCAGGTGAAATAACTCTCGAAAAGTTGGCACGAGAAATTGGCAGGTGAAGTAATCTCGAAAAGATGGCATGAGAAGCTGGCAGGTGAAGTAACTCAAAAGAAAAGTTGGCTGGCGAAGTTGGCAGGTGAAGTAACTCTCGAAAAGTTGCCATGACAAGTTGGCAGGTGAAGTAATTCAAGCGAAAAAGTGGCATGAGAAGTTGACAGGTCAAATAGCTCTCAAAGAGTTGGCGTGAGAAGTTGGCAGGTGAAGTAACTCAAAAGAAAAGTTGGCAGGTGAAGTAACTCTCGGAAAGTTGGCGTGAGAAGCTGGCAGGTGAAGTAATTCTCGAAAAGTTGGCACGAGAAGATGGCGCGCGAAGTATTTGTCGAAAAGTTGGCGTGAGAAGCCGGCAGGTGAAGTAACTTTTGAAAAGTTAGCATGAGAAGTTGGCAGGCGAAGTAATTCTCGAAAAGTTGGCATGAGAAGCTGGCAGGTGAAGTAACTCAAAAGAAAAGTTGTCTGGCGAAGTTGGCAGGTGAAGTAGCTCTCGAAAAGTTGCCATGACAAGTTGGCAGGTGAAGAAATTCAAGCGAAAAGTTGGCATGAGAAGTTGACAGGTGAAATAACTCTCAAAGAGTTGGCGTGAGAAGTTGGCAGGTGAAGTAACTCAAAAGAAAAGTTGGCAGGTGAAGTAACTCTCGGAAAGTTGGCGTGAGAAGCTGGCAGGTGAAGTAATTCTCAAAAAGTTGGCACGAGAAGATGGCGCGTGAAGTATTTGTCGAAAAGTTGGCGTGAGAAGCCGGCAGGTGAAGTAACTCTTGAAAGTTAGCATGAGAAGTTGGCAGGCGAAGTAATTCTCGCAAAGTTGGCGCGAGAAGTTGGCAGGTGAGGTAACTCTCGAAAAGTTGGAAGGTTGGCAGGTGAAGTACCTCTCGACAAGTTGGCGTGAGAAGCTGGCAGGTGAAGCAGCTCTCGAAAAGTTGCCATGACAAGTTGGCAGGTGAAGTAACTCTCGAAAAGTTGGCATGAGAAGCTGGCAGGTGAAGTAACTCAAAAGAAAAGTTGGCACGAGAAGTTGGCAGGTGAAGTAATCTCGAAAAGTTGGCGCGAAAAGTTGGCAGGTGAAGTAACTCCTCGAAAAGTTGGCACGAGAAGTTGGCAGGTGAAGTAACCCTCGAAAAATTGGCATGAGAAGTTGGCAGGTGAAGTATTTCTCGAAAACTTGGCGTGAGAAGCTCGCAGGTGAAGTAACTCCTCGAAAAGTTGGCACGAGAAGTTGGCAGGTGCAGTAACTCTCGAAAAGGTGGCATGAGAAGCTGGCAGGTGAAGTAATTCTCGGTGAAGCAACCCTCAAAAAGCTGGAGCTGCGGAGGCGCTCCGCGTGCTATGTTTGTACTTGAAAGTTGCGATTTTCGAGCCGTTTGTATCTAAAAGTTGCGATTTTCCAGCCGGAGCTGCAGCAGCCTCCGCGTACTACGTCTGTACTTAAAAGTTGCGATTTTCCAGCCGGAGCTGCGGGAGCACGCTCCGCGTACTACGTTTGTACTTAAAAGCTGCGATTTTCCAGCCGGAGCTGCCGCGGATTTCCATTTGTATCTAAAAGTTGCGATTTCCCAGCCGGAGCTGCGGGAACACGCTCCGCGTACTACGTCTGTACTTAAAAAGTGCGATTTTCCAGCCGTTGCTGCAGCAGCCTCCGCGTACTACGTCTGTACTTAAAAGTTGCGATTTTCCAGCCGGAGCTGCGAGAGCACGCTCCGCGTACTACGTTTGTACTTAAAAGCTGCGATTTTCCAGCCGGAGCTGCCGCGGGGGAATCGAGCCCGCGACCGAGGGATTGCGAAAGCAGGCGCGCAAACCACGAGACAACTTCCAAAAGCCGTTTCGCGAGCAAGAAATTCGCACGGGACCACAGCGACAGCGCTTCGACACGCGCGATCCACGCAGAGGGTTCGCCGCGGTCAAGACAGATTCGCACGGCGCCACAGCGAGAGCGATGCGACACGCACGATCCCCGCAGAGGGTTCATCGGGCTCAAGACAGATTCGCACGGGAACATAACGAGAGCGATCCGACACGCACGATCTCCGCAGAGGGGTCATCGGGCTCAAGACAGATTCGCACGGCGCCACAGCAAGAGCGCTTCGACACGCACGATCTCCGCAGAGGGTTCGCCGCGGCCAAAACAGATTCGCACGGGACCACAGCGAGAGCGATCCGACACGCATGATCCCCGCAGAGGGTTCATCGGGCTCAAGACAGATTCGCACGGGACCACAGCGAGAGCGATCCGACACGCACGATCCCCGCAGAGGGTTCGCCGAGGTCAAGACAAATTCGCACGGCGCCACAGCGAGAGCGCTTCGACACGCACGATCTCCGCAGAGGGTACGGTTCGTAAGCTCCCGTCGGGCCTACCCCCGCCAGAAAAAGAAGAAGAATTAAGAGTCGAGATGTGAAGGTAGAAAAGAAAAGTTAGCTTGTGTTTTTAGGACAATGAGATAACACCCGAAAAGTCGAGATGTGAAGGTAGAAAAGAAAAGTTAGCTTGTTTTTTTAGGATAATGAGATAACACCCGAAAAGTTGACATGAGAAGTTGGCTGGTGAAGTAACTCTCGAAAAGCTGGCATGAGAAGTTGGCAGGTGAAGTAACTCTCGAAAAGTTGGCATGAGAAGTTGGCAGGTGAAGTAACTCTCGAAAAGTTGGCATGAGAAGTTGGCAGATGAAATAACTCTCGAAAAGTTGGCAAGAGAAGTTGGCAGGTGAAATAACTCTCGAAAAGTTGACATGAGAAGTTGGCAGGTGAAGTTTGCAGCCGCTTTTAGAAGAAGAACCCTTCGCAATGCTTCCGGGAAAAAAACGCACACGCCCGTATCGCGCAACGCCCGAGCCACCTCGCATGAGGCGGCGCAGATCGACAAAGCTCTTTGGAGCTGGCGTCCAGCCTGCAGCCTGGCGAGTCCAACTTGGACTTTCCATGAGGAGAATGAGTCCAGGGTTCCATTTTTTGACTGCCTTGGGTAGTTGAGCGGGGTTTCCCTTTTGGGGAAATCAACCACCCCTGAGTCAGAGAGTCGAGGCTTCCCTCCATACGGGTGGCTTGGATGAGAACAAACCAGCCAAACATGTAATGACCGATGGCATGGGTGTTTCTCGGCCGGACACAAGACGCCGCCAATCGTGGAGTGCGTTCGCACACCTTGCGAAGCTCGGGCTTCGACCAAGCCCCCGTGCGCTTGCCAGCAACAACTCCTTTGCTATGGTCAAAGGGTGACACTTTAGAGCCATAGCTCACCTTCAGCTGCCAAACCTTCGCGTGCACGTAAAGCTTCGCATAGCTTGTGTGACGCCTTTATTCGTGCATATGCTTTGGTGTGTGTGTGTGTGAAGGAGCGCATGTTCTTTCGCCTGTGCAGTTTCTGTTTGCACCTCTGTTCCTGGGTATGTCGCCTTTGCGTTGTGCGAATGCGAACATTCCGAAAGTCCTCCCAAGTCGATTCTGAGAGTTCTCCTCTATCACCATACTCCGCACATGAGATCTCTGAGGCAAACGATACACTTGCATCAGTGGTCTGTCAGCGATGTCACAAGGCTGAAACCTCCCACTAGGCTGGAACTTCCTGCGGTGCAACAAGTCCAGAACAAACAGGTACACGGCCCTGTCGAAGTCATCATGACTTCGAGCTTGCATTGCCTGCTCATAAAACTTCATCCTAAACCCTAACCCTGTAAAACTTCAGCCACCACTGCACTCATTTGATATGCTCCGAGCCAGCGGGTAGTCGGCCAAGATTTCACGATAGGCATGCTGCAAGGCGGCCGCGCTAGCTTCACGCGAAATGCGAGGGAGAGCGTTGCGTCATACGTCTTTTGCTGCTTCACAATTGGCAAACATGCCAATGCTCGTGGCCTCGAGGACACCAGAAGAGATGGTCAACAAATGTCCATCGCCACAGTAGCAATGTGCCAAGAAAACCCCAAGTCAATGCTAGAAATGCAGAGACAGAGCGTGGGATAAGAGACATCGCATGACTGCAAGTCGTTCTCGTATGAGCATCCACTTGCTAATGCCCCATGCGCTGCTTGCACCTGCCACGCAGAGCTGTGCATCCTCAGTGAGTGTTTTCCGCACTTGTGTAAGGTCCAGTATGCAGTTGCATCCCATAGCAGAATGGTTCGTGTTCTGTCCAGTATTGGACGGTGCTGTACAAACCGTTCAACGTTCGCCACATTTGGGCCAGGGTTTGGCGCCAAGCGGAGTGCCTTCCGGGGAGTGCCTTTGAGCGCAAAGATGAGCTGTTTGGATGGTCACGCATGGTTTGGCAACGCTGCTTTATGCCAAAACCATCCTATATATTAAATTAATCAATATCATTCCTGAAGGTCATGGCAAGAATGGGTCATCAAAGGCTGTGCCGTATAATCGATTGAAACAATACCTGGCTGGGCAGAAATGTCTGGGAGACCTGATTTTTGTTGGAGGAACTCATGGGGTTTTCCTGCCATGGGGTTTTCCTGCCACCCGCCACGGGCCATGCTGCCTGATGAGCCAGAGCCAGATCCACTGGAGCGAGAGCTGGAGCTTGAGCCGGCCCTGGCGCTGGGTCAAAACCAATGGGATCCCATGTTGGGGTAGCTGAATTCACCACCCAGTTTAGAACCTATTTCAGTGGGGGATTGGGATGTTCACTGGGGGTACGATTTGGATTTTGACCCATGGCCACATCAGCTTCTCTCTAATTGGTAGTTTGGAGCCGAATCGGTGGTTTGGTGGTACCTTCTAGAACCGGGGGTTCAAATCCCAAGCCAATCCAAACCAAGTTTCAGGGAGGCTGAACTGGGCACCGGTCCCTGAAAAGAACGGTTGGGATGGTAAGGTGCGGGATCAATTTTTGACTGCCCCGAGATGGACTTAAACCCAAAAGCTCCCCTTTTAGGGGGTGATGAGTGACTGCAAGGTCTACCCTGAATTCGTCAACAAGCGGAACCCTGTGCGGGATTACATACATTTGAGTTGGGGGGCCCTTTACTGAACATGAGGAGTTATGTCCACCAAGTGGGAGGGTATTACCCATTGAATGCACGTCAATATCTGGGTCTCTAAATGGGGAACCCCGGAAAAGGACATGCACCAGCTCCCATCAGCCAATGTCAGCAAATGGCAGTGGCTTTTGTGCTGGCTCCTTGAACGAGGTTCAACAGCAGTCCCAAGCTTTGACACATCATCTCAATGATGTTTACGGACTGCAAAAACGAAAGAGGTGCACAACAATTTCCCTGGCTTGATGCAATGCTGAGAAGAGGGCTGTTCAGCATTCGTTGGTTGCTGTGCAAAGTCAGCCGGATCTCCCGCGTGAAGCCAACCGGGTGGAACATGGATCCCAAATCCTAAACCCCTGGCCTCACATGGCCCACCGGAGCGGCCGCGACGGCCTGCGCAAGCTGACGTGGGCCACCTGTTGACTTGGGCATCATTTACCTGGGGGTTTGGTCTGTTTCTTCGACTGGTGGCTTTCCGTTTGGTTTCCCGTTTTTGCAATCCACAAAAATGGGTACCAACTCCGAAAAGGAGACACAACCTTGAGTGTCCCTGATGGTCCATGTAGCAAAGGGCGCCAGCGCGGCCTGAGATCTCATCCTGGCCCAGGCCTGGCAGGTGCTTCAAAAAGCCACGTGCCACATGAGCCACTAAGAACATGGGAAATCCGGGCTCTCTGCTTTTCTTGGTGGGGATGTTGGGTTGCCGACCCGAAGCCACCGAAGACTAGCAGTCGTATTCTCAGATGTGCCATCGCTCTCGTGTGGCCTGGGGGTCTTCTGCTGACACGGGCTGGAGATGAATGCCGCCGGCTCGCATGGCGCGATGCGTCAGCCTGCGAGCGCATCGCGGCATCGCGCGAAGCTTTGAGCCGGCCATCGGCTGTGGACCTCTCCAGCTTGTCCGCCGCGTTTTGGAGCCCTCTGTGGCCGCAGCTGGTCAGGAAATCAATGACCTGTCCGAAGAAAATGACGTTGCTGTGGGCCAAAAATGGGTACCCGAAATTGAACCCTGGTAAGTGGAACCAAGGACTAAAACCAGCGGCACCCAAAATTGAACCCTGGCAAATGGAACCAAGGGCTAAAACTAGCGGTACCCAATTCCTGCTGGTTTAATTTCGACCCATAGCCACCAGTCAAGTGGTGTATCTCCAAGCTCGGTGCCTGTCCGGCTTGCCCGCGGTTCGCATCCGTGTATTCTTGAACAGTTGCCTCACCAGACTGCAGCACGCCACTCCTTCAAACGACTGAGACTGCCTCCACCAAACAGTCGCCCCACGGACCGCACAAGCAGCCAGCCTCAGGGCAAACGTGCGCCGGACAGCGCGCCGGCACACGATCATGCTCAAAGAACTCCTTCGCAGCTGCTACTCTTAGCATGTTCAGCGCAAATATGAAATACTGAGCGTTGGCAGCAAAGGAATTGCTCGATCGGCACATGCTGCTTGGATTCAGCTGTGTGCTGCCTTTTCCAACCAAGTCCTCATGATTTGGGCGCTCAAGGAGAAATCAGACATCATTCCGCAGGAGAGCACATTCAATTTGGGCTCATTGCTAGGCAACATGCCAGGTGCTTAAGAAGATAAGTTCTGAACTTCCACGGCGCAAACACATCACATCCTTCCAAGCCAATCTTCCCAGCCATGCCGTTCAAGAGTTGTTTTACGGCTGTTCAAAAACGAATGTGAACAGTGGCCATACCGCCTTTCGCAAACAACCGGCTTGGCTATAGCCTGTTGGCACCTTGCAGGTCTTTAAACTGGAGACATACTCTCCTGCAAGTCAACATGGAACCTGAGGTCCTCCCTCATTCTTAGCAAGCTTCTTGTTAGGATTTAGGGTTTAGGGGTTTAGGGTTTAGGGGTTTAGGGTTTAGGATTGTTGGAGAAGTTCCACGTCAACTTGCAGGGGTCTCCTTGGTCCGCATCGATCGCCCGTTTTCCATCGCCTGGTCCACGCAGGGCTGGGTCTGGCGCAGCAGATCCCGCCAAGTGGCGCCACCTGGAGACTGCAGAAAGTCTCGAGCCATGGCGCCGCGATGCTGCGAAACAGACGGTGATCGAAGCTCCCAGCCACGTGGCGATCGTGGCTCAAAACCCTCCCCTGGTGAACATCAGAATAGGTGGCAAATGGATGAACTTCATCCACCCCAAAATGGAGCCATGGGTTATCCCCATGGCCATGTCTGCTGCTCTCACTATGAAAGGCTTGAACCAGTTGGCCAGGTTTTTCTGATTCCAAGCTCCGTCGGCGCTTGGCACTGAACATCGGCATGGAGGTGTGTTGCCTTGGCAGACTTTGAGCCTTCCAAGCTATCTCAGCGGCTGGGTCTCCACTCTGACACACAGATGCGACGGATGCGACGGATGCGACGGATGTGGGATGAGACGGGCGCACACTAAGGCCACTCCCGCCGCCTTTGCCACCCCTCGCGTGACCCCGGAGAACTCCTCGCGCATCGACCATGTCGCGCAGAGGTCTGGAGGCTGACAACAGAGTTTTGTGCCGACGGCCGACCCCCTGATTCATCCGGACATCCATCGAACACTGTTCTGACAAAGTGGGGACCTGCCATGGCTTTCCGTGCAACAAAACTAAATCCAGCCCGGCGATTGAGCTCCTTCAGCAGCAGGTTGGACATCCAGGCATCTAAGAATAAGAAGCCCACCACCTGAGTCACTGAACACGCCATTGCCCAAGCACCGGGTGCCTCCGCCTGAACGGCTCTGGGCACCCCACCGACCATGTGCGAATATCCCACGAGTCAAAGAAGCCCCCAGGCCGCACGGTGGGATTCCGAATATCCTCGCAGCAATACAGCATCCCGAAACGGGCTTGACCCCCAGACAGCCCTAGAGAGAAACCGTGGGGCCCGGGAACCTAAGGCCACGTACATGTCCCCACAGTTCCCCCCCTAAGGGCTGTGGTCTATGCGGTGTGTGGATCATCTCTTAGAAAACATGCTCCAAGTTGGCAACCGGGCATCATTTCCCTCTGACATTTGTGCAGCTAGCCTCGTGCCTGAACCCTGGCGATTTGTGGCTCAGGGCATATGTAAGTGACTGGCAAAAGCTCTCTTGTGGAGTAGAGGCCAACAAGAATTGTCCCTTCAGGATTTTGAGGACTGTCGTACGTCAATCCACGAGAGACGGTTACAACATGATTTGCCAGTAGCTTACATCGGGAAGATCTTCGGCGGTCATTCTGCGCTGGGTGAAACATCCTGGCAGCCTCAAACGCTAGCCTACTTCAGGTGTTCCTCGACATACGACCTTGGCATCTGGCTGCACAAGATCTGCCTGCAGCCTAGCAATGCCACAAACTCTTTTTCCTGGGGCATCTGGCTCGGCATGGATTTCACGCATGTCCCCGTCCTGAGGAACGTCACCAACGAAAGATGGAGGGCTTCAATGCATCGGCCACCGAAGTCATGTAGCTCAGGCAAGCACCGTCAGGAAGGGCGATAGAATGGTTGAGAGCCTGGCAAGCATTTGACAACACGCCGTTGTACATCTCTCTTTTTCCACAATCCAAATGTGCATACATATACGCACATGCTGCATACACACACAACATACAAATCACCTCAGCACAAGCCCCCCAGCACTGGCAACAGCACCTGCAACAGCACCTGCAAAATGACTACCAAAGCCCTTTTTGGTGTCACCCAAACCCATGTCAAAGAGTCAAAAACGCAAGATGAGACTGTACCTCAACTACCTGGGACCTGGGTGTTCTGCGTCAGTCAGCGCCTGAACCTGTCCGAAAGCAAACGGAACTGTGAAGCTCATGCCGGGCAAACAACCAGCTTCCACCACCTCGGCTGTTGCAAGGTCTGGGTGCGAAGTACTCTGTGGCAGCTCGTGCCCTCTGGCACAACTCCGCAATCTTCGCTCCATTACTTGGGGGGTGAATCAATCTTGCTGGCCCCAAAACGACCAGGAGACGCTTTCCCCATGTGGCAATAGTCCTTCTTTGTGGCGGTTTCCCTAACGGCAACCCCATGCAAAGCACCTTTTCTCCATGTTTGAAGCTACCGCGACCCCTGCGGCCTTTTTTCTGGCGCCAAGTCCCTGGCCTCCGGCAGCTGCACCCGGGGAGTCACTGGCCATGGATGCCTGGGAGGGCGCCTCCTGAATCTCGCAGAATGCAGAATGGCTTGTTGAAGTTTGTTGGTTTTCTGTTGGTGTGTTGGTTTGTTTGTCCCATTCTCCCCCAGAATGGTTTGTTTGTTTGGAATGTATTTTTCGTGGTTACTTCTGCGGAAAAAGGGCTGGGTCCTGTGTGACGGGCGTGCGCTTCGAAGGCGACTCCTGGCGAGCTTCACTAGTCACACGCCGCAAAGTCAATGAGACCACAGTATTTTTTGTCGGCTCCTGAGGAGACCCATGCTTCAGATCGAAGTTCTCACCTTGGAAGCCCCCAGACTCTGGCTTCACAAGATGCTCTCCGAGTTCAGGTTCGACTTTAAGGCCGCTGCGCGCCAACTGCATGACGTGCTCTCGCAAGTTTTGAAGCATGATGGCCTGGCCACTTTCTCATTGCGTCGAATGGCATTGCATCGAATTTCATCAGGTTCTGGCTCAATGCACGAGCATCGCTCGTGCAAGCGCAGGCCTTCTCCTCCTGAATGTCCGTGATGCGCTGGTGCAGTTGCCTCGACACTGCTACAGCAAGAGGAAAACAACCAGAGGGAAAATAGAGGATGTAAAAGGGGTGTCCTTGAAACCCCTCTCGGGGTCAGCAATTTCCGGAACCCAAAACTGTTCCTCGCTGCAATTGAACCAACACTCACTGAGGCCGAGGCTTATTTTCCGATGCAATAACATCGTCCGACCGCACCTCCTGCTTGCTCGCATTTGGCAATGTATCTATTCATCGCGGCCAAGCAGTTGAATGCATTCGCATGGTGTGCAATCCTCTGGACTGTCGGCCCATGGGGATCTTTTGCTGCGCGGTGTTGAGATATCGAAGGATGCCTTGGCCAACAGGATCTGTCCGCCATGCATGCGCCGACAGGGCCCACTCTTGAGTTCGGGACTGGCTCCTCTGCTGGCGCATTTCGAGATGCCTGTGCCCATGTGCGCAGGGGCTGGCAAAGCAAAGGAACGCCTAGAACGCCCATGTCAACTGCACGGGGAGCCTCCAGCAATTGCCGGCGCAGCCTCATGCGAGTCTGAACGTCAAGAGCATGAGTCCACAAAGCTTTCGCTTTAGAGCCTTTGACACTTTCCAAGAGCGAAACTCGTACTTTACTTGTGCGCTCAACGGAATTTCGCTGCCAGGATTCGGGGAGAGAGTCCCTTCCTCAACCCCGGCGTCTCAGCCCCTGAGCCGCTGAGGCTCAAGCGTCTCCGCCTCGATGGTCTTTGCACTGAGGCTGCGCTGCGCCTCTCCGCAAACATGTGCCACGGAAGCCGAGAGGAACCCTTAGTGATTTGGACACATCTTTGCTCATGCCCTGTAAGTTGTAATATAACTGATGAAAGCTGAAGGCATCCCCGCCTATCCTCAACCCCCCAGGATAAGTTTTGGAAGGAACCTGCTGACTGAATGAGGCTCTGCGCTAAGATCGAAGTTCCTATAGAATCTTTCGGAGGAATGGAGCGTCCGATTGTCTCCTCAGAATGGCCGTATATGCTTCTTTTTATTTAAAAAAAAAATGACAAGATGCCGCCAAAAGCTTCCTGAAATCTTCCAGGGTTCTTCAAGTGCGTAGTTGGAAGACGAAAAATCAAGAGCCAGCAACAAACTTGCTGGAAATCACCCAGGCTCTTGGGAATGAACCTCTTCCCCAAGGAAACCAAAACTGATGGCTTATGGGGGTGATTTCAATTCTTCCCGTTCTCATATTTCTCATTCTTCTCATTCCCTAGGGAACCTTGGAATGGCCATCAACCGAAGGGTGTTGATATCTTGAGATGCTTCGGCTGGGTTCTTGCATCTCTTGCAGCCACATATCTCAAGCCCACCCCGCCCGCGTTTTTTTTCTCCGGCCCCATCGATCCTGCTCCATTTGGAGCGTGAAGGCCTCCTCCAGCTCCTTCTTCTCGGCCTCCGCCTGACGACGCGGGAGGCGGGGCAGCGGGGCAGCGCAGTCGTCAGGTTGCCAAGCCAAAGAGTCCCAGCAAAAAGCACCCCAAGAGAAGTGCTATGGTTCAGGACTCCGGGGTCATCCACCCGAATCATGGTGGAGTCCAAAACAATCCAGGTGTAATGGTTCAGGAGTCCAAAACAATCCACCCGAATCACCTGTAGAGTGGGGACATAATGGTGGACAATGACGCGCTAACAATGCCGGTATGTGGCTAGGAGTCTGTGCATTTCGGGTAGGACCTTGGAGAGAGATCGATCGATTCGAGGCGCGGCCTGCGCAGCTTGGATCTCCGCATCCTGGACACGTGGTTTGGTACGGGATGTTTTTCGCGTAGACACATCTCAATATCTTAGTCCGCAGGGACACATAATTGAATATGACAATATGACACATATGCATGTGGCATCTTCATTTGTACATATATATATATATATGTACGTTGTTAATGTACATGCTCAAGTGTATACATGTATTCTTAAAAATGCATGTTGTACATACCTCAGTGTAAAAAGCGTAAGGGTATACTTGCGCATGCAGTGTGTATATGCATGTGAGCACCGGCCTGCAGCTTCATGGCCAGCAGATCGTTGCCCTTGGACCCCAGCGCGGTAAAAGATCAACAGCGCTAGAGCTATCGGGCCTTTTGCCAGGACTCCGCAAGTTCTGAGCTTTAGGAACTCAAAGTCTCAGAAAGGCATGAAACCGTGAGCCCAAGCTCATTTGGCTGTGGGTCAAAAAAAGGTACCCAAAATGGAACCCTGGTAGATGGACACATGGACCATGCGGTTTTCTGGTGGCTGAATTCTGACCCGGTTTGAAGTTGAAATGGTGCCGTGCCACTGTCCACGTGCTGTACGCGCGGTGCCTCTCAGAAAAATTGGTGATGGGACTTCTGCAGCCACGAAGATGTTCCATGCCGATATCTATGCGTCTGCAAATCAGCGGACCCGCAAATGGGTGGCTTCGCCTTGGTTTCCCTTCGAAACAATGCAAACAGAATCTGCTTGGAAACAAAAAATGTCACCCAAAACCAATACCGTTAAAACCAACACAAAAACATGCACTGCGCAACCCGCCGTGCCCCACTTCAAACACTCTAACTACGCGTTCTAAGTACACATCACGGAACATAAATCGTGGCACCCGCCGAGTCTGAAACTTTCGCCTTCTGTGGTGATCGCCTGGCCTGGAGTTGCGAGTCCGCTTGGCCCTGTCCCTGCAGTTGCAGTTGCGCCTGGCTTCGAGTCTGCTGCGCACAAACATTGATATCCTATCGCTACCATTCAGCAATCATCAGATCTGCATCCGTGGATCCGAACAGTACAGCAATGGCTTTTTGCCGAAGCAAAAGACGCTGGCAGTGATCGACACAGCTTGCCTAAACCCGGCGCCTTCTGCAACTGAGCCTGCAGGAACTCCTTCTCTTCGGTCGAGTGCTGCAGTGCCTCCTGCGTGCCCTGCAGCTCTGCCAGATTGGCCTGCGGCAACAGTCGAATAGTCGAGGCTGACATCTGCGGAGCATGGATCACGACACTATGCGTCTCACTGTGCGTGTCACTGGCTCACAATGCCTGCATCTGCGACGAACTTCCCTGCATCTGCTCTTGTTGCATCTGCAACTGCTGCGCTTGGCACTGAACCTGCCACTCGTCGTCTCGACCCTACTCTATCAACCGCTGCTACTGCGTCCAAAAATATGTAATGAAATTCCGTTGCGTCTGAGGAAACAAATCGGTAACCCCGCTATCCATCAAGGGCTCCAGCATCGGCAACTCACATTACACAGCCCCAACCTGCCTTCTCCAGCTGCGCTTGCAAGAACTCCTTCTCTTCGTTAGCGTGCTGCAGTGCTGCCTGCATGTCCTGCATCTCTGCCAATTTCTCCTTCGCCAAACAGGGGTGACATCCTCACACACCACTTGACTGTGCTACACTACACATTGTGACTCTCAACGTGCATTGTGACCTTTCCCACTCCACACGCACCCTCCCAAAAACATGCAAATCACACCTTGTGTGGTAGGACACTGATCGTCTGGCCTGCAGTTGCGAGTCTGCTTGGCCCTGTCCCTGCAGCTGCAATTGCGCCTGACTTCGAGTCTGCTGTGCACAGGAACTGCCATCCCAGCTCTCTCAAGCTTCTCCCGACAACAACCGGTAGGACACATCTGCAAGCACCTTCCCTCCGCAGGATGAGATGCACAAGCCATCGGAAACAACAGGCTCGCTCAAAGTTTGCCAACCCCGCCCCCAACAATCCAACCGACCACATATGGTCGCAACTCATTTTGAAGGGGATGATTGCTGCAATGCCAGCATGTATCACACAGGACCGTCTGCCTTTTCCAGCTGCGCTTGCAAGAACTCCTTCTCTTCGTTCGAGTGCTGCAGTGCCTCCTGCATATCCTGCATCTCTGCCAGTTTTGCCTTCGCCAGACACGGGCGAAATCCCCACACACCACTTGCCAGTCTGCCACATGCCGCAGTGCTACACTGCACATTGTGAAACGTGAACACGCATTGTGGCATGCCTCACTTCATACGATCATAGCACATGTCATGGCAAATTAATCGTGGCACCCAAGTCTAACAAATTCAACATCACTTCTGTGCGGCACTGTAGTTGCCGGGCCTGCAGTTGCGAGTCCGCTTGGCCCTGTCCCTGCTGCAGTTGCAGTTGCGCCTGGCTTCGAGTCTCAACCACTGGATCTGCGTCCGTGGATCCGCGAAATACAGCACTGGCTTGCCTAAGACAATGACGCTTGCAGTGATCGACTCAGCTTGCCTAAACCCGGCGCCTTCTGCAACTGAGCCTGCAGGAACTCCTTCTCTTCGGTCGAGTGCTGCAGTGCCTCCTGCGTGCCCTGCAGCTCTGCCAGATTGGCCTGCGGCAACAGTCGAATAGTCGAGGCTGACATCTGCGGAGCATGGATCGCGACACTATGCGTCTCACTGTGCGCGTCACTGTGCAGCTCACAATGCCTGCATCCGCGACGAACTTTCCTGCATCTGCTCTTGTTGCATCTGCAACTGCTGCGCTTGGCTCTGAACCTGCCACTCGTCGTCTCGACCCTACTCTATCAACAACTCCTACTGCTTCAATCATATATATAATACCATTACGCAGCGTCTGAGGGGAACAAATCGGCACCCATGCATCAAGGGCTTCAGCATCCGCAGCACACATTACACGGCCCCAACCTGCCTTCTCCAGCTGCGCTTGCAAGAACTCCTTCTCTTCGTTCGCGTGCTGCAGTGCTGCCTGGACGTCCTGAATCTTTGCCAATTTCGACTTCGCCAAACAGGGGCGACATCCTCACTCACCACTTGACCGTGCTACAACACACATTGTAAAACGTCAGCATGCACTACTGCATACCTCACTTCCTACGATCTTACAACTTGGCGTGGCACATAAATCGTGGCACCCAAGTCTAACACTTTCAAAATAACTTCTGTGCAGCACTCTATTTGCTGGGCCTGCAGCTGCGAGTCCGCTTGGCCCTGTCCCTGCTGCAGTTGCAGTTGCGCCTGGCTTCGAGTCTCAACCACTGGATCTGCGTCCGTGGATCCGCGAAATACAGCACTGGCTTGCCTAAGACAATGACGCTTGCAGTGATCGACTCAGCTTGCCTAAACCCGGCGCCTTCTGCAACTGAGCCTGCAGGAACTCCTTCTCTTCGGTCGAGTGCTGCAGTGCCTCCTGCGTGCCCTGCAGCTCTGCCAGATTGGCCTGCGGCAACAGTCGAATAGTCGAGGCTGACATCTGCGGAGCATGGATCACGACACTATGCGTCTCACTGTGCGTGTCACTGGCTCACAATGCCTGCATCTGCGACGAACTTCCCTGCATCTGCTCTTGTTGCATCTGCAACTGCTGCGCTTGGCTCTGAACCTGCCACTCGTCGTCTCGACCCTACTCTATCAACAGCTCCTACTGCTTCAATCATATATATATATAATACGATTACGCAGCGTCTGAGGGGAACAAATCGGCACCCATGCATCAAGGGCTCCAGCATCGGCAACTCACATTACACAGCCCCAACCTGCCTTCTCCAGCTGCGCTTGCAAGAACTCCTTCTCTTCGTTAGCGTGCTGCAGTGCTGCCTGCATGTCCTGCATCTCTGCCAATTTCTCCTTCGCCAAACAGGGGTGACATCCTCACACACCACTTGACTGTGCTACACTACACATTGTGACTCTCAACGTGCATTGTGACCTTTCCCACTCCACACGCACCCTCCCAAAAACATGCAAATCACACCTTGTGTGGTAGGACACTGATCGTCTGGCCTGCAGTTGCGAGTCTGCTTGGCCCTGTCCCTGCAGCTGCAATTGCGCCTGACTTCGAGTCTGCTGTGCACAGGAACTGCCATCCCAGCTCTCTCAAGCTTCTCCCGACAACAACCGGTAGGACACATCTGCAAGCACCTTCCCTCCGCAGGATGAGATGCACAAGCCATCGGAAACAACAGGCTCGCTCAAAGTTTGCCAACCCCGCCCCCAACAATCCAACCGACCACATATGGTCGCAACTCATTTTGAAGGGGATGATTGCTGCAATGCCAGCATGTATCACACAGGACCGTCTGCCTTTTCCAGCTGCGCTTGCAAGAACTCCTTCTCTTCGTTCGAGTGCTGCAGTGCCTCCTGCATATCCTGCATCTCTGCCAGTTTTGCCTTCGCCAGACACGGGCGAAATCCCCACACACCACTTGCCAGTCTGCCACATGCCGCAGTGCTACACTGCACATTGTGAAACGTGAACACGCATTGTGGCATGCCTCACTTCATACGATCATAGCACATGTCATGGCAAATTAATCGTGGCACCCAAGTCTAACAAATTCAACATCACTTCTGTGCGGCACTGTAGTTGCCGGGCCTGCAGTTGCGAGTCCGCTTGGCCCTGTCCCTGCTGCAGTTGCAGTTGCGCCTGGCTTCGAGTCTCAACCAGTGGATGTGCGTCCGCGGATCCGAAAACTATAGCACTGGCTTGCCTAAGCAAAAGACGCTGGCAGTGATCGACTCAGCTTGCCTAAACCCGGCGCCTTCTGCAACTGAGCCTGCAGGAACTCCTTCTCTTCGGTCGCGTGCTGCAGTGCCTCCTGCGTGCCCTGCAGCTCTGCCAGATTGGCCTGCGGCAACAGTCGAATAGTCGAGGCTGACATCTGCGGAGCATGGATCGCGACACTATGCGTCTCACTGTGCGCGTCACTGTGCAGCTCACAATGCCTGCATCCGCGACGAACTTTCCTGCATCTGCTCTTGTTGCATCTGCAACTGCTGCGCTTGGCTCTGAACCTGCCACTCGTCGTCTTGTCCCTACTCCATCAACAGCTCCTACTGCTTCAAATATATATATATATATATATATATCCCCATCTATATAATGCAATTACGCAGCGTTTGAGGGGAACAAATCGGCACCCATGCATCAAGGGCTTCAGCATATGCAACGCACATTAAACGGCCGCAATCTGCCTTCTCCAGCTGCGCTTGCAAGAACTCCTTCTCTTCGTTCGAGTGCTGCAGTGCCTCCTGCATGTCCTGCATCTCTGCCAATTTCGCCTTCGCCAGACACGGGCGACATCCTCACACACCGCTTGATCGTGCTACACTACACATTGTGAAACGTCACCACCCACTATTGCATACCTCACTTCATACAATCTTAGCACATGTCATGGCAAATTAATCGTGGCACCCAAGTCTAACACTTTCAAAATAACTTCTGTGCAGCACTCTATTTGCTGGGCCTGCAGCTGCGAGTCCGCTTGGCCCTGTCCCTGCTGCAGTTGCAGTTGCGCCTGGCTTCGAGTCTGCAACCACTGGATCTGCGTCCGTGGATCCGCGAAATACAGCAATGGCTTTTTGTTTAAGTAAATGAAGCTTGCAGTGATCGACTCAGCTTGCCTAAACCCGGCGCCTTCTGCAACTGAGCCTGCAGGAACTCCTTCTCTTCGGTCGCGTGCTGCAGTGCCTCCTGCGTGCCCTGCAGCTCTGCCAGATTGGCCTGCGGCAACAGTTGAATAGTCGAGGCTGACATCTGCGGAGCATGGATCACGACAATATGCGTCTCACTGTGCGTGTCACTGGCTCACAATGCCTGCATCTGCGACGAACTTCCCTGCATCTGCTCTTGTTGCATCTGCAACTGCTGCGCTTGGCTCTGAACCTGCCACTCGTCGTCTCGACCCTACTCTATCAACAACTCCTACTGCTTCAATCATATATATAATACCATTACGCAGCGTCTGAGGGGAACAAATCGGCACCCATGCATCAAGGGCTTCAGCATCCGCAGCACACATTACACGGCCGCAATCTGCCTTCTCCAGCTGCGCTTGCAAGAACTCCTTCTCTTCGTTCGAGTGCAGCAGTGCGGCCTGCATGTCCTGCATCTCTGCCAATTTCGCCTTCGCCAGACACGGGCGACATCCTCACACACCGCTTGATCGTGCTACACTACACATTGTGAAACGTCACCACCCACTATTGCATACCTCACTTCATACAATCTTAGCACATGTCATGGCAAATTAATCGTGGCACCCAAGTCTAACACTTTCAAAATAACTTCTGTGCAGCACTCTATTTGCTGGGCCTGCAGCTGCGAGTCCGCTTGGCCCTGTCCCTGCTGCAGTTGCAGTTGCGCCTGGCTTCGAGTCTGCAACCACTGGATCTGCGTCCGTGGATCCGCGAAATACAGCAATGGTTTTTTGTTTAAGCAAATGAAGCTTGCAGTGATCGACTCAGCTTGCCTAAACCCGGCGCCTTCTGCAACTGAGCCTGCAGGAACTCCTTCTCTTCGGTCGCGTGCTGCAGTGCCTCCTGCGTGCCCTGCAGCTCTGCCAGATTGGCCTGCGGCAACAGTTGAATAGTCGAGGCTGACATCTGCGGAGCATGGATCACGACACTATGCGTCTCACTGTGCGTGTCACTGGCTCACAATGCCTGCATCTGCGACGAACTTCCCTGCATCTGCTCTTGTTGCATCTGCAACTGCTGCGCTTGGCTCTGAACCTGCCATTCCATGCAGTTGATTTTGGCCGCAAGGAAGGTTGCAACATGGGGGATCTCTAGGACCAAAACAAAGCAAAGTAATCTGTCCTGGCCTTGTCTGAAATGCTACGAAGTGCAAGCCACAGAGTTGTTTGGACCAAGGCTCCTAAACCATCTTCAGCCAAGCGAAGCCTACAGGCAACACCAAGGCGAAGCCATGGCTAGCCAATGCGCCTCCTGTAGGCGCTGCTTCAATTCGACCACCTGTCTCCGAAGTCTATCGACACCTCTGAGCGTGCAACATGATCTTCAGAGCCTGCTCCTCTCGCTTGGCAACTTCTTTGCGAGCAAGCTCTTGCATTTGCCTTGACAAATGAACATGTACATAACCTTTGTGTGCGTACTTTATGCAAAGTGATGCTTGGTCATGAAGTGCTCTCATGCTCAGCCACAGGCGTAGCATATGCCTTCGCCTTGACATGAACGTTGGCAGAGAACCCAATGATGCCTACCCTGAGACACAGTCAATGACACGGGCCTCGATCTGCATCTGCTGCTTCAGCTTGGCTTCTTCCTGTGCCTAGCAAAGAGAGCCCGACGTGGGCAACAAAACGTACCATGGTAGGCGCAATCAATAAGAACATAACGAGATGCTGCAAGGGAGAATAGCCAACAGTGACAGTTTAAAACGCCACCAGCAGCCGGTGCAAGAAACATGAAACGGACAATACAGCAGCTGCGTGAGTATTATATGTGTTTTTTTTGACATTTTGCTAGGTCTAGTAAACATGAGTCTTCCTTGAAAGCATTCTGCATGGCTTTTTGCTCGACGCTGCGGCTGGCCTGCAGCTGAGCAAATTCGGCTTGTGCCCGGCTCTGCTCCTGCTCCAGTTGCTGAGCTCGCTGAAGGGCCTGTTGCCCATCGGCTCAGGCAGAACGCTCACACTGATCAGGTTCTGAGATTCTCAGATATGATATTGAATCTTCAACATAAAGTCTGGATCTGTGACTACTTCAATATCAAGTCCAAGATGCACGAGACACAAGCCCACGACCAGCGCAACGCGGTCTTAACTGAACCTAAAGCCAGCCCCACCCTGACCCCACGCTAAGCCCACCCTAAACCAACCCTTAGCCAACCTTGAGCCAACCTCAAACCCACCCTCAGCCAACCATTCACGCCTCCTGGGTCTGGCCTTTACGCTAGTAAACGTACGTCTGGCGATGTACACAAAACAATTGTCGGAAACACGCCCGCAATGACCAGGCCTCCCGATCTGGACTTGACGCTAGCAAACGCTCCGTCACCGTCCCCCCAGAGAAAGAAAAAGTAGATAGGCTGCCGAAGCTTAAATTCGCGTCGGCCACCCCCCCACCGGCCCCACCCAGCCCAACCTCATTGGGCAGCCAGCCCAGCCCAAGTCAGCCCAGTGCGGTCGAGGCGTGTCTTGCCCAGTATGCGTTGGCCAGACCAATCAGTCGGCCCAGTTCGGTCAAGACTTGTCTTGCCCAGTATCCCGGGACAGCCAGTCCAAAAGCGTGGGCCAGACCGATCAGTCCGCCCAGTTCGGCCCAGGCTTGTCTTGCCCAGTATCCCGGAACAGCCAGTCCAAAAGCGTTGGCCAGACCGATCAGTCAGCCCAGTTCGGTCAGTCCAAAAGCGTGGGCCAGACCGATCAGTCAGCCCAGTTCGGTCAAGGCTTGTCTTGCCCAGTATCCCGGAACAGCCAGTCCAAAAGCGTTGGCCAAACCGATCAGTCAGCCCAGTTCGGTCAAGGCTTGTCTTGCCCAGTATCCCGGAACAGCCAGTCCAAAAGCGTTGGCCACACCGATCAGTCAGCCCAGTTCGGTCCAGGCTTGTCTTGCCCAGTATCCCGGGACAGCCAGTCCAAGAGCGTTGGCCAGACCGATCAGTCAGCCAGTTCGGTCAAGGCTTGTCTTGCCCAGTATCCCGGGACAGCCAGTCCAAAAGCGTTGGCCAGACCAATCAGTCAGCCCAGTTCGGTCAAGGCTTGTCTGGCCCAGTATCCCGGGACAGCCAGTCCAAAAGCGCTGGCCAAACGGATCACTCAGTCAGCCCAGATGTCCAGGCTGTAGCAAAGCCTTCCCCATCCCAGTTTGGCCCGACAACATCAACTAGCCCAAGTTAGTCAAGCCCAGCCCAGTCAATCCGTGCAGATTCAAGCGCTTCAGTCAAGTTTTGTCCACTATTGCCAGCCCTGTTCGGGCCGTTGGTAGGCCGCAGACATGGTTGCCCAACATTTTGCATCACAGAAGCTGCTTCCGCAACCTTTGGTTGTGGTCATTCTTGTTGTCGCTGTGGGTCGTGGCAGGAAACTAAGGCAAGGCACGCACACCAATGAATCGACCGGCTCTGTTACTTACTTTCGGGCCACAGGCACTGCATGCTGGGCTGGGCCGAAACGGACGACGCGAAGCGTTTACAATTACGCATGGCCCCAAAACCGTCGATGCAACACGGACCCCTCCAAGTAGGTGTCGGAGATACGCGCCCGCCGATGTTGCACACGGAGTGTCAACCTTTGCAAACGGCCTTGGGCATACTTTGAGAGGCTTTTGTGCACTTCGGGGGCCGTATGTCCATGGCCCGTATCGCGCCCAACACTTTCATCTCCAAAAGCGGCGACGGCGGAAACGTCCGCTGAGTGTCTTTGGAACGAAGGGGCTAAACTGTGGGTAGACTTCTTGAGGTTGAGACATCAGATCGTGCTGCGCTGTCACACATCCAAAGGTGAACAACTATCCCTGGCTGCATGTCCATTTGCCAGAGGGAGTTTAGAAGGAACTTCCGTGTTACGGACACTGACAGATAGTACTGCGCACAAATGAAATGAAGAAAGAAAGCATGAACGCACGCGAGTAAACATCATGCGGGGGAATAGAAATCGCGCAAGAACAAACTACCCTCTGCGGGGTTTGGCATCTCCGGTGAGCTGAAAGCTACCTCGAGCGCAACGCCGGACGACAGTCTAGGTGGAAGGCGCGACACTTTAGCAAGGTCAGGCATAGATTTGCTGGCAGGTGCGCCACTTTCGCAGAGTCATGAGGGTTTCGTGGCAGGCCAGCACTTTCAAAAGGTCAAGCACAGACTTCGTGGAAGGCAAATAGAGCCCAGTATCCCGGAACAGCCACTCCAAAAGCGTTGGCCAGACCAATCAGTCAGCCCAGTTCGGTCAAGGCTTGTCTTGCCCAGTATCCCGGCCAAAAACGTTGGCCAGACCGATCGCTCAGCCAGCCCAGATGTCCAGGCTGTAGCCAGTTTGGCCCGACAACTTCAACTAGCCCAAGTTAGTCAAGCCCAGCCCAGTCAATCCGTGCAGATTCAAGCGCTTCAGTCAAGTTTTGTCCACTATTGCCAGCCCTGTTCGGGCCGTTGGTAGGCCGCAGACATGGTTGCCCAACATTTTGCATCACAGAAGCTGCTTCCGCAACCTTTGGTTGTGGTCATTCTTGTCGCTGTGGGTCGTGGCAGGAAACTAAGGCAAGGCACGCACACCAATGAATCGACCGGCTCTGTTACTTACTTTCGGGCCACAGGCACTGCATGCTGGGCTGGGCCGAAGCGGACGACGCGAAGCGTTTACAATTATGCATGGTCCCAAAACCGTCGATGCAACACGGACCCCTCCAAGTAGGTGTCGGAGATACGCGCCCGCCGATGTTGCACACGGAGTGTCAACCTTTGCAAACGGCCTTGGGCATACTTTGAGAGGCTTTTGTGCACTTCGGGGGCCGTATGTCCATGGCCCGTATCGCGCCCAACACTTTCATCTCCAAAAGCGGCGACGGCGGAAACGTCCGCCGAGTGTCTTTGGAACGAAGGGGCTAAACTGTGGGTAGACTTCTTGAGGTTGAGACATCAGATCGTGCTGCGCTGTCACACATCCAAAGGTGAACAACTATCCCTGGCTGCATGTCCATTTGCCAGAGGGAGTTTAGAAGGAACTTCCGTGTTACGGACACTGACAAATAGTGTTGCGCACAAATGAAATGAAGAAAGAAAGCATGAACGCACGCGAGTAAACATCATGCGGGGGAATAGAAATCGCGCAAGAACAAACTACCCCCTGCGGGTTTTGGCATCTCCGGTGAGCTGAAAGCTACCTCGAGCGCAACGCCGGACGACAGTTTAGGTGGAAGGCGCGACACTTTAGCAAGGTCAGGCATAGATTTGCTGGCAGGTGCGACACTTTCGCAGAGTCATGAGGGTTTCATGGCAGGCCAGCACTTTCAAAAGGTCAAGCACAGACTTCGTGGAAGGTAAATGAATAGATAGATAGATGAAGGGATGGACAGACAAATAAATGAGAGGTAGATAGATAGTTGGACACATCGGTAGACTGACAGAGAGAGAGAGAGAGACAAATACACAGAGGCAGAGAGAGAGAGAGAGATAGATAGATAGATAGATAGTTAGAAAGAACGAAAGACAAATAGATAGATAGAGAACGAGAGATAGATTGCTAGTGATAAATAGATAGATAGAAACATAGCTAGATCGATCGATAGGCAAATAAACAGAGAGATAGATAGATAGATAGATAGACAAATAAATACATAGATGGATAGATAGAAAGATAGAAAGGTTGATACATAGATAGAGAGATGGATAGAGAGATAGAGAAGTAACGAGTTAGATAGACAGACAGACAGACAGACAGACTGACAGACAGATAGATGGATGGATGGATGGACGGACGGACGGATGGATGGAGAGATACATAGCTAGAGATAGATAGATAGATAGAAAGATAGACAGAGAGATGGATAGATTGATAGATACATGCAGACAGACAGACAGACAGACAGACAGACAGACAGACAGACAGACAGACAGACAGATAGATAGATAGGGAGATAGAGAGATAGCAAGATAGAGAGATAGAGATAGAGATAGAAAGATAGAGAGATAGAGAGACAGAAAGATAGAGAGATAGAGAGATAGAGAGATAGAGAGATAGAGATAGAGAGATAGCGAGATAGATAGATAGATAGATAGATAGATAGATAGTTAGATTAGATTAGATTAGAATAGAATAGAATAGAATAGCTTAGATAGATAGATAGATAGATAGATACATCGATAGGCAAGCAAATGATTCCGCTGACAACGAGGAGGGTTGGGCACGCGTTGGGCACGAGGAGGGTCAAGAATGCCTTGGGAAAAAGAACAAAAAAGGCAGGAGAGCAGGACAACAACTGGGAAAGAGAACAGGAAGAGCAAAAAGAGACAAAGAGAGAAGAAGAAAAGAGACACGGCAAGAGAAAGAGAAAGAGCGAGAGAAAGACAGACAGACAGACAGACAGACAGACAGACAGACAGACAGACAGACAGATGGATAGATAGATAGATAGATAGATGGATAGCGAGATAGCGAGATCCATATGTAAATAGACAGCAAGAAAAAAGAAAGACAGAAAGAAAGAAAGAAAGAAAGAAAGAAAGAAAGAAAGAGACAAAGAGACAAAGAGACAAAGAGACAAAGAAAGGCAGAAAGAAAGAAAGAAAGAAGGAAAGAAACAAAGAAGGAAACAAAGAAAGAAAGAAAGAAAGAAAGAAAGAAAGAAAGAAAGAAAGCAAGAATGAACGATGGAAAGAAAGCAATGAAGGACGCAAGAAACAAAAGAAGGAAGAAGAGAAAAAAAAAATCAAAAAAGGAAAGATAAAGACAATTATAGTCCTTCTTTTTTTGAAACTTCTGCCAGCCGGCTTCGCCGGCTCTACTGGTAATGATATGCTATACCACCCCATGCGAGGCAAACAAACAGCTCTTTTCCGGTGCACACGCCCCCTTGGCGCCTGCTCAAGCTTCGCATGCAGCTGCTGCTCGTTCTCAGTTGAGTGCTGCAGCACTGCTTGGCTTGTTTGAAGCTCCTGCAGCCTGGCCTGCAAGCAGAAGAAACGACCAGGGCATGCAAAAGAATCAGAGACAGTGGGTCATGGTCATGGTCATGGCTTCTTGAAAAGGAATCAAGACCATAGGTGTCCTTTTAGGAGAAATAGATGGCTAGTAGATGACTAAACCACCAGGTGAACCAGGGCCATCTATTTGTCTACCAAAACAACCCAAAAGGACACCTATGATCACAACATGTCTTAAAACCCCCGGCGAATGACCGTGCCTGCCGCAAGCAAAAGGGAGGTTTGGCCGTGGCACAACCAAAAAGGCCCCAAACTTGTCATGTCAACTTTGTGCCAATGAGGCATCGGGCTGTATGAAAGCATCACTTCCCTCACTTCCTGCACGTGCGCATGGATTTGTAAGCTTTGCAAGCGTTGTGCCCGCTCGCTGGCTTCGTTCTGCCTCTGCCAGCATGCAATTGTCGCCCGTTCCCGGGCACAGCTGGCCTGCAGCTGCGCACATTCACCTTGTGTCCGGTTCTGCTCCTCCTCCAACTGTTGAGCTCGGTCAAGGGCCTGTCATCCGTTTGCTCATGCAGAAACGCTCAAACTGTTGCTCGCTGTGATGTGATATGATGGTTGAGATGTTGTACGGCGGTCACACAAATCAGCAGGTTTGCTACACAGAGACGCACGCTCACACACACCACAAACGCAAAGACACACATACACACATTTCAACGCCAATGCTCGGGCTCTTCACCAACCTCCTGTTTGACTCTATCCCTTTTGTGCTGTTTTTCACAGGACCGATATTCATCTCACCAATCTCTTCACATATCTTGTCAATCGCACCAGCATACAATAACACAGGCTCACAATCCACAGTGCACAGGTCGCTGTTGCGCCTGCTCAAGCTTGACATGCAAATGCTGCTTCTCTTCTGCTTCCCGCTGCAGCATTGCTTCGCGTGCCTGAAGCTCCTGCAACCTGGCCTGCAAGCAGAAGCAACGACCAATACACAAGAGCGGGGACCAGGTGGGGGTCAGGCATAGCACAGGAAAGACTTCACTGCCCTGTTATTATGCTCGTGCATGCCGTCTGAACTGCATGTAGATTCCGCGCGACACGTTGCCCCTGCTCACAGTGAATTTTTCACCGCACGAGCGCGGCTGGCCTGCAGCTGAGCAGACTCGCCTTGCGTCCGGTTCTGCTCCTCCTCCAACTGTTGAGCTCGGTCAAGGGCCTGTCATCCGTTTGCTCATGCAGAAACGCTCAAACTGTTGCTCGCTGTGATGTGATATGATGGTTGAGATGTTGTACGGCGGTCACACAAATCAGCAGGTTTGCTACACAAACACAAGCGCACACACAAAGACACACACACGCAGCCACACACAGCCACACATTTCAACGCGTCTGCTCGGGCTCTTCACCAAGCTCCTATCCAACTCAATCTCAGCATGCTTGCTGTTTTTCACATGGCTGATATGAGTCTCACCTATCTCCCGAATCTCGCCAATCTCTGCACAGATATCTCCAGCTTACAACAACACTGGCTCACAATCCACAGTGCACAGTTCGCTCTTGCGCCTGCTCAAGCTTGACATGCAGATGCTGCTTCTCTTCTGCTTCCCGCTGCAGCATTGCTTCGCGTGCCTGAAGCTCCTCCAACCTGGCCTGCAAGCAGAAGCAACGGACCAGGTGGGGGGTCAGGGATAGCATAAGGTTCTTGACTTTGCTGTTCTGATGTTCTCCTGCATCTGCCAGCCTGCCCTACTTCTTCATGGCATTGACACACACGCGCAGCTGGCCTGCAGCTGAGCAGATTCGCCTTGGGTCCGGTTCTGCTCCTCCTCCAACTGCTGCACTTGGTCAAGGGCCTGACGTTAATCTGCTTATGCATGAATGCTCATGATATGCTCGCGCTGGCGTGCTGTGATTCATATAGCCACACATCCAGGCACGAACACATCCCTGGCCGCCTTGATCAATTTGTTTGCAACACAGCACCAAACAAACAATCAAACAAACAAACAAACAAACCAACAAACAAACAAACCCAACAAAAAAGAGAGCAAACAAACAACACACAGCGGCACGCGCATGCGCACACACACAGAATTCAATTCAATTGCTCAGGCTCTTTACCAAGCTCGAAATCAACTTGACCTGCAACCTCGATGATTGCAGTTTTTCACACTGCTGATATGAGTCTCTCCTATCTCCCTAATCGAACCAATTTCTTCACATATCTCGTCACCCACCAGCTTACAACAACACTGGCTCACAATCCACAGTGCACAGTTCGCTGTTGCGCCTGCTCAAGCTTGACATGCAGATGCTGCTTCTCTTCCGCTTCCCGCTGCAGCATTGCTTCGCGTGCCTGAAGCTCCTCCAACCTGGCCTGCAAGCAGAAGCAACGCCCAATAAACAAGAGTGGGGACCAGGTGGGGGGTTAGGGATAGCATAGGAAGGACTTGCACTATTCACCCTGTCCCCATGGCATTGACGCACACGCGCGGCTGGCCTGCAGTTGAGCAGATTCGCCTTGGGTCCGGTTCTGCTCCTCCTCCAACTGCTGCACTTGGTCAAGGGCCTGACGTCCGTCTGCTTATGCAGGAATGCTCAAACTGCAGATATGAAGCGCTCACGCTGCTGCGATCAGGTCACACAAATCAGCTGGTTTGTTGGGCACACACACACACACACATGTTTCAATGCGCAGGTGTTTGCGCAACTGCAACAGTCTCGAAATCTCACCAATTTGGGTCAGACTCAGACTCTGCACTGCACAGGTCCGCTTGTGCCTGCTCAAGCTTGGCATGCAGCTGCTGCTTTTCTTCCTTTGCGTGCTGCAAGGCTGTCTGGGTTGTGTGAAGCTCCTCCAACCTGGCCTGCAAGCGTAAGCAAGAGTGGGGACTGGGTGGGGGTCAGGGATGGCATCTGACAGCAAGCTCAAAACATCTCAAGCCCTTTGCAGCAAGTCAACGCGTGCCTGGAGCTCTTGCAGGTGATGCTCTCCCTCGAGGGCCTACAAGCGTGGATCACCGCGCTATGCGGATTCTGTGGCTTCGGTGGCGAACCAGCACAAGCCACAGCTTTACCTTCACTTCAAGACTTCGCATGGGAACCGAAAGCCGGTAGCCGCGTTTTTGATGTTGACAAGCTACTAGGCGTGCAAATGATACGCTAAACAAAAGCCCGCCGGCGAAAAAAGGTCCCGAGCAAGCCACGTCACACCAACAATGGTGTAAGCACAGGCGAGTACCAAACCAAATTTTGGAGAAGCGAACCCCTCACCAAGCCCTCAAACCTGTGACAAACCCTAAAGCGAAACATACCCTTGAATCAAAAGGAAAGCCAAGCCAAAGCTCGGTCCCACAGAACTCCAAACCCTATATAAAACAGCCGGAGTCGTTGCCCATACTAGAACTTGAAGAAAAGCGCCCAAGGAGTCCCTTGAAGATCCAAGACAAGTCCCTGATCACAGCATGTGCAAACCACAGCCTAAGCCAGTAACTCCCAGAACCAACCAGCAAGCTCCGGGCACCTGATCCAGCCGCACTTGAAGCATCTGCTTCTCGTCAGTCACCCGCTGAAGGGCGGCTTGGCTTGCCTCCAACTCCTCCAACCTGGCCTGCGGAAGCACCCAGACAGCACTTGGGGGGTTGATCAATACGCTCCCCCAAATGACCATGAGTGTCTTCCTCCATTGAGTGGGAAACTTCATGTAGCGAATCGGTCAGTGATCAACCCCCAATGTTCAGCCGGGTCCACATGGAACGCATGAACAGTGCACTAAGGAGGTGGCGTGTTTGCTGCATCAAAACATCACTTCCAGCATGATAATATGCACCCCTCCCCAATGGCATTGACGCACATGCGCAGCCAGCCTGCAGCTGAGCAGATTCACCTTGTGTCCGCTTCTGCTCCTCCTCCAACTGCTGGGCTCGGCCGAGGGCCTGTCGTTCATCTGCCCCATCTGCTCACGTTCATGTACCGGTCAGTGAGACAGCCAGCCGCACATCACGGACAAAACTCGCCCCTAACTTGGCCCCTAACCCCCCCTCTAACCGGCTAAAAACAGCACCGACCATTGGCTCAAACTCTTTCAAAGTGCGCAGGCCCATCTCCGTCTGTGCCTGCTCCAGCTCTGCTTGCAGCTTCTGCTCTGTTTCCTGCTGCAATACCGTCTGGCTTGCCTGCAGCTCCTCCAATCTGGCCTGCAAGCAGAAGCAACGACAAGGGCAAGCAAGGGTGGGGCCCGGTGTCATCATGTGGACTCCCAAAAAACATCACTTGCGTCACAAACACTCCGTAAATTCCACGGAACACGTTGCCTCTGCTCCTTACCGGATTGCATTGACAGCTGGCCTGCAGCTGAGCAGATTCACCTTGTGTCCGCTTCTGCTCCTCCTCCAACTGCTGGGCTCGGCCGAGGGCCTGCTGTTCATCTGCTCACATCTGCTCACGTTCATGCACCGGTCCATGAGACAGCCGGGTGCTACTTCGACGGCACACTAAACCACATGGATGTTTTCATTGAGACATACTTGCACCGCAAAACATGGACAACTCGCACCCCTCTAACCATCCATCCAAAAACAGCACCGACCATTGGCTCAACTTCATTCAAAGTGCGCAGGCCCATCTCCGTCTGTGCCTGCTCCAGCTCTGCTTGCAGCTTCTGCTTCTGCTCTGCTTCCTCCTGGCGCTTTGGAGGATGGATATGAGGGATAGTCAGTCAAAGTTGCAAACTTCCAGTACAGGTTTCTCAATTCAGATGGGACCGCAGTCCAACTGGGCCATGGAACCGGAATCACAGAGGCCATGGGGGCAACATGCCACCTTCGTTTTGAAAGTATAGCCCCTCCAACCGAGGCAAAAACAAAAGCCTGGTGTCATCATGTCGACTGCAAGAGAAAATCACTTGCGTCACAAACACTACGTGAATTCTGCGGAACAGGTTGCTCGCTGGTTTGTGCGTTGATGCATTGCTCACCCTTACCGGGATGGCATTGACTTGCATTGACGCACATGCGCAGCCAGCCTGCAGCTGAGCAGATTCACCTTGTGTCCGCTTCTGCTCCTCCTCCAACTGCTGGGCTCGGCCGAGGGCCTGTCGTTCATCTGCCCCCATCTGCTCACATCCGCTCACGTTCATGTACCAGTCCGTGAGACAGCCAGGTTGCTATTTCGACGCACACTGAACCACACGGAACTTTTCCAAATTGAGACATAGTTGTACCGCATATCCTGGACAACTCGCAGCCCTCTAACCATCTAAAACCAGCACCGACCATTGGCTCAAACTCTTTCAAAGCGCGCAGGCCCATCTCCGTCTGTGCCTGCTCCAGCTCTGCTTGCAGCTTCTGCTTCTGCTCTGTTTCCTGCTGCAATACCGTCTGGCTTGCCTGCAGCTCCTCCAATCTGGCCTGCAAGCAGAAGCAACGACAAGGGCAAGCAAGGGTGGGGCCCGGTGTCATCATGTGGACTGCCAAAGAACATCACTTGCGTCACAAACACTCCGTAAATTCCACGGAACACGTTGCCTCTGCTCCTTACCGGATTGCATTGACAGCTGGCCTGCAGCTGAGCAGATTCACCTTGTGTCCGCTTCTGCTCCTCCTCCAACTGCTGGGCTCGGCCGAGGGCCTGCTGTTCATCTGCCCACATCTGCTCACGTTCATGCACCGGTCCATGAGACAGCCGGGTGCTACTTCGACGGCACACTAAACCACATGGATGTTTTTCATTGAGACATACTTGCACCGCAAAACATGGACAACTCGCACCCCTCTAACCATCCATCCAAAAACAGCACCGACCATTGGCTCAAACTCTTTCAAAGTGCGCAGGCCCATCTCCGTCTGTGCCTGCTCCAGCTCTGCTTGCAGCTTCTGCTTCTGCTCTGTTTCCTGCTGCAATACCGTCTGGCTTGCCTGCAGCTCCTCCAATCTGGCCTGCAAGCAGAAGCAACGACAAGGGCAAGCAAGGGTGGGGCCCGGTGTCATCATGTGGACTGCCAAAGAACATCACTTGCGTCACAAACACTCCGTAAATTCCACGGAACACGTTGCCTCTGCTCCTTACCGGATTGCATTGACAGCCAGCCTGCAGCTGAGCAGATTCACCTTGTGTCCGCTTCTGCTCCTCCTCCAACTGCTGGGCTCGGCCAAGGGCCTGCTGTTCATCTGCTCACATGTGCTCACGTTCATGCACCGGTCCATGACAGCCCGGTGCTACTTCGACGGCACACTAAACCACATGGATGTTTTTCATTGAGACATACTTGCACCGCAAAACATGGACAACTCGCACCCCTCTAACCATCCATCCAAAAACAGCACCGACCATTGGCTCAAACTCTTTCAAAGTGCGCAGGCCCATCTCCGTCTGTGCCTGCTCCAGCTCTGCTTGCAGCTTCTGCTTCTGCTCTGTTTCCTGCTGCAATACCGTCTGGCTTGCCTGCAGCTCCTCCAATCTGGCCTGCAAGCAGAAGCAACAACAAGAGCAAGCAAGGGTGGGGCCCGGTGTCATCATGTGGACTGCAAAAGAACATCACTTGCGTCACAAACACTCCGGCTCACCCTTGCCGGATGCAATTAACATGAATTGACTCACATGCGCAGCCGGCCTGCAGCTGAGCAGATTCACCTTGTGTCCGCTTCTGCTCCTCCTCCAACTGCTGGGCTCGGCCGAGGGCCTGTCGTTCATCTGCCCCCATCTGCTCACAAGAGACAGCCAGGTTACTATTTCGACAGCACACCACATGGGCTTTTCCATTTCGGACACAACTCACCCCCCTCTAGCCGGCCAAAAGCTGCACCGACCATTTGCTTCAACTCTTTCCAAGTGCCATTTGCGCCTGCTCCAGCTCTGTTTGGAGCTTCTGCTCCGTTTCCCGCTGCAATACTGCTTGGCTTGCCTGAAGCTCCTCCAACGTTGCCTGAGATCAACACATGTCGGAAGGCGGATTGGCTCAACGACGGAAGTTGTTCCCGCCATGGCAATTGGAAAACTCGGGTCCCACATCCCTCCCAAAGTGACCCCCCAAAACCGCAGCGTCATTGACCGAAACTCGCATGCTTGCCTTAAACCCGCCAACCCCAATGCACGTGCCGTGGTCTTTTCAGGACATAGGCAACAGGGTTCATCAGGCAAATGCCAAGAAAACATGTCAGACGTATGCTTCCCCTTCCAAATGGCCTGGAGTTGAGAAGATTCTTGCTTGGCGCAGATCTCCTTTTCCTCCAACTGCTGTGCTGTGCTTAGAGCCTGCACACGCCGCAGTGTGACTTTTCCAAGAACTGCCATGCATTTGATCTCGCACCGCTGAAGGTAGTAGGAATTTCTGGCGTCAACATACAACAAAGGACTTGTCATTTCTGCAAGAGTTTTGAGCGCTCTGGGCACGACTTCACAGGGGCGCAACGAGCGCTGAGAGAATGCCTTGGAAGTATCGCTTTCGAAACGGGCCGATGGAGCTGCCAACGAGCAGATAACCCAAAAGCATCCCAGAAAACAAGCCGCCTGCTCCAGCTGGGCATGCAGCTGTTGCTTCTCTTTGCCAGCCACTTGAAGATCCGCCAGTCGGGCCTCACAGGCTTCCAGACGCCCGTTTTCCTTGGACTCAGGGGACCTCAATACTTTTGGATTTTCTAGGGCACCTCGATATTCTTGAATATTCTAGCAGACCTCAATATTTTGGGATTTTCTGGGGCACCTCAATGTTATTGCATTTGCTCGTGGACCTCAATAAGTCAATATTTGTGCATTAGGGGACATCCAAAGGGGGAGAGAAACCAACCAGCAAACCAACCACTTTGGGTTTCACCGCGCCTTCACTTTTGGGGCGATTCGATCGCGCCTCCCCGGCGGCGATCGCCTTCTGCAGCTCCGATCGCAGCTGCGCGTGCTGCTGCTCCCTTTCGTTGAGCCTGAGAGCGCGCGCGCGCGCGAGCGAGCGAGCGGGTGGGTTGATCTCGGAGGTGGGGCGAACGTCAAAACCCAAAAATCGCCCCTGAACGTCAAAATCGGTGCAAATGGATGTTCATCCACCCCATGGAGCCATAGGTTATGCAACCCATGGCCATATGGGTGTGGTTGTCAAAGATAGGGACTAACCCCGAAATGGATTGCCCTGGTCGATGGAAACAAGGACTGAAACCTGCGGTCCAATTCCGGGCGGATTGATTTTGAGCCATACCCATATGAGCGTGCTCTTAAACTGGCAGAAAACCTCCAAACACTTCAGGAAGCGAACCGACCAATTGATTTCACACCTAGTGGGTCAAAGCCAATGGTAGCATTTTGGGGTAGCACCACCCCTTTTAGAACCTATTTTAGTGGTTGGATTGGGATGTTCACAGGGGGTACAATTTGGATTTTGACCCATGGCCCCAAGCGTCCCCGGCTCCGCCTGCGCTCCAAGCTCATCTTCTCCTCTGCCAGCTGATCTCGAAGCTCGAGGACCTGCCGTCTCCGAGTTGCTGGGATTCAAGGCCAAATAGATGGGGCTCAAAAAAAAATTCTGGGGCTACGCGGGATTTAGTCCATGTTTCCATTTACCAGGGTTCATTTGGGGTACCTATCTTTGACAGCCACGCCCAAATGGGTTGCTTCCCTCGGATGAAAAATTATCCCGATCCGCTCCCCACTGCCGCACGGGCTGTCCGATGTCTGGCAAGGATTCACACCTCCTCATGGGCTTCCATGAGCAAATCCATGCTTTCCATTTCTTCTGCCAAATGCTCCTCTGATCCCCCAGACAAGATGGCGCCATGTCCCAAGATTCAACTCAAATGAATATGCAGGCTCTCGCTCCGAGAAGTGCAGGCTGGACGCGCACCCATTCGTTGTCTAAGAGTCTGAGAGTCTAAGCTATCCAACAACAGCCACGCCAAGCAAGCCAAGCCAAGCATGCAGTCCTGAAGCTCTTGCATTCTGCCTTCAAGCACTTTCCTCTCTGATCGTACCAGTTCGATTCCCACCTGACACGCCGCAAGCTCGCTTCAAGCAGAAGTTGCAGCGGCCAAGCTGTCCCAGACTCTCAGACTCTCAGACTCTCAGACTCTCAGACTGGCGCCGGAGTAAGCTTGGCAAGAGCTTTCTCAGGCTCCTGGAAGCGCCAAATGATCGAACAGCCAACAACATGTGCTTGCTTTCGCGTTTGGGGCCCACATCGCTCGCGGCTTCATAGAGAACGCGGAAAAATGCCCAAATCCTGTGGAGCCACTTCCTGAAGCTGTGCCTGTATCGAAGCCTCGCACGTGACCTCGGGGCTCAGATCCAAAGTTCAGCAGTCTGTGCAGAAAAGCGACTGCTCCGCGACAAAAGCGGCGGCCGCAATCATAGCGCAATAAAAAGGGGTCTCTGGATTGAAAATCTGGAAGCGGGCCTTGACGTCCTCGCTGGACGGGGTCACTGCCACAGCACCTGGACAAAGGTATGCGCGGACTGCATCAAAAACCAACGAACCTGGGAATAGTAGTTTGGGGTCGCGTCTACCAAAGACACATTTAGCCGGGAACATCGACCGCATGCCGTGCCTGGTGCGGCAACCAGTCGAGCCGCCACCTTTGGCACACTGCATCCGAGTTGGCAAAGCGCGTTCTCGAGATGTCCGCTCCAACAACCGAAACAGCCCGCCCAACAGTCCAACAGCCCAACAGCCTAGCAAAAGCAAGAGCCCAACAAACCAACAGCCCACTCCAAAAGGAAACTCAAAGCCAGGGACATAGAGGACCTGTGACTTGAGCACCCCACAGCTTCGCTCTTTGCCCGACGGGCTTCGTGTCGGGATGCTTTGGACCTAGGCCAGTCAATCTGAAGCGCAGCTCTGCTTGGGCAACGAGCCCCAAGCCGGGCGAGTTCTTTCTGCAAATCCTTATGCACTTCGTTGAAGAGGTTGTGGGCAGTCCTGGGTGTGGATTTTTGTTCGCTGGCACATCTCAAGCTGACATACGCACGGGTAAACAGGTCCCCCGCCGCACTTCCCTCACAGACTTTCGCCGGCGCTTCTCAGAAGCGTCCAACTCCTACCATGAGATTGATCAAGCCGTACCTCGCCAAACCGCACTGCAGCTCTGTGCCTCGTTGGTCTTTGCCAGCGCCGCCTCGATGGCTCCCTTTGCAATCAAAGCCTGTTCCAATTTGCTTTGGATCGCCTGACGGATCGTGGCTGTCTCACGTTGCGCAGGCCTTCATGGCAACAATGCCTAAACTTGAGGAGAGAGAGGCAGATTGAGGGAGAGAGAGAGACAGAGAGAGGGAGATTGAGGAGAGAGAGGCTTGGGGGGATGGGGAGGATGGGGAGCAAAGGGAGGGAGAGAGGACGACAGAACACACGAAAAAGACAGGGGAGAGAGGAAGAAGAAAAGGGAGAGGACAATGTCGGCGGACTGAGCCGGAGGCTCTAAAGTTTCAGGAGCCCCGCCTCTGCCTCCAACTTGGCCTCTACACAGCTCTGTTGCGAGACCTTGGCCTCTTCCTCCGCCATCTCCTGCGCCTCTCAAGCAACCGGGTTGCAGCACAATATGTTTGCTCCAAAATCGCCCTTCAAAATGCGGTTGGAACTGGTCATCAGTCTCGCAAGGTCTAAAGAGCGCAATACGGCGGTCACCCAAACGCCTTGCGGGCTGCCGTCAGGAGAACATCCGCATTCTCCACCGCCTCCTTTGCTTTCAAAGCCTCCTCCAACTTTTCTTGGAGTGCCTGACGGATCGCGGCTCAAACAAGAACTGCCATGTATGTCATCTACAAGGCAGGGTAAAGCGTTATGGCTGGCAAACATACAAGGACTGATTAGCCTTCAAGACAAATGGGCTAATTGGGATTGTCTCCAAGCACATAGGGGAGTCCCATGCAAAACAAGTGGGTCAGGTGGGTTCGTCTCGTAAAATGGCCCCAAGTTTCCCGTTGATGTCTCTGAGAACGCCTGGCACCGGACACCGCGCCTCTACCTCCAACTTGGCCTCTACACAGCTCTGTTGCGAGACCTTGGCCTCGTCCTCCGCCAGCTCCTGTGCCTCTCGAGAAACCGGGTTGCTGCACAATATGTTTGTTCCAAAATCGCCCTTCAAAAAGCGATTGGAACTGGTCGAAGTCGAAGTCTCTCAAGGTCTAAAGAGCGCTTTACGGCGGTCACCCAAACGCCTTGCGCGCTTCCGTCAGGAGAACATCCGCATTCTCCACCGCCTCCTTTGCTTTCAAAGCCTCCTCCAATCTTGCTTGGAGTGCCTGACGGATCGTGGCTCAAACAAGAACTGCCATGCACTTTGTCACGCACATCTAAAAGGCGGGGTAAAAAGTTATGGCTGGCAGAGATACGAGGACTGATTGCCTTCAAGACAGCCTTTCGCGCCGGGCATATGGCTTAATGGGTTGTCTGCAAGTGTATCGGGGAGTACAGTGGAAAATAAGTCGTTCACCTGGGTTTGTCGCCTAAAATGGCCCCCACTAACTAGGCGGGTTTCCCTCTGTGAAGACGCCCCGCATCTGGTTTCGCGCACCGCGCCTCTGCCTCCAACTTGGCCTCTACACAGCTCTGTTGCGAGACCTTGGCCTCTTCCTCCGCCATCTCCTGTGCCTCTCGAGAAACTGGGTTTCTGCACAATATTTAATTTTCCCGAAATCACCCTTCAAAATGCGGTTGGAACTGGTCATCAGTCTCGTAAGGTCTAAAGAGCGCAATACGGCGGTCACCCAAACGCCTTGCGGGCTGCCGTCAGGAGAACATCCGCATTCTCCACCGCCTCCTTTGCTTTCAAAGCCTCCTCCAATCTTGCTTGGAGTGCCTGACGGATCGCGGCTCCAACAAGAACTGCCATGTATGTCATCTACAAGCCAGGGTGAAAAGTTATGGCTGGCAGACATATGAGGACTGATTGCCTTCAAGACAGCCTTTCGCGCCGGGCAGATGGCTAAATGGGTTTGTCTGCAAGTGTATCGGGGAGTACAGTGGAAAATAAGTCGTTCACCTGGGTTTGTCGCCTAAAATGGCCCCCACTAACTAGGCGGGTTTCCCTCTGTGAAGACGCCCCGCATCTGGTTTCGCGCACCGCGCCTCTGCCTCCAACTTGGCCTCTACACAGCTCTGTTGCGAGACCTTGGCCTCTTCCTCCGCCATCTCCTGTGCCTCTCGAGAAACTGGGTTTCTGCACAATATATTTTTTCTCCGAAATCACCCTTCAAAATGCGGGGAACTGCCATCAGTCTCTCAATTTCTAAAGAGCGCTTTACGGCGGTCACCCAAACGCCTTGCGGGCTTCCGTCAGGAGAACATCCGCATTCTCCGCCGCTTCCTTTGCTCTCAAAGCCTCCTCCAACTTTGCTTGGAGTGCCTGACGGATCGTGGCTCAAACAAGAACTGCCATGCACTTTGTCACGCACATCTAAAAGGCGGTGTAAAAAGTTATGGCTGGCAGAGATACGAGGACTGATTGCCTTCAAGACAGCCTTTCGCTGGCAGATGGCTTAATGGGTTTGTCTCCAAGTATCCGCCGACATTGCTCGGCGTGTCGGCCTAAGAGAGGATAAAGGATAACCCCCCCTAACCCCCCCCCCCGCCCGACGTCTGATACGTGGGGGGGCCGGGCCCCCCCAAAGGACCGCGCGGCAATTTGATGACGTTCCACTAACCGGCGCAAAACAGGAGTCCTAGGCTCGATTCCCCCTGCCGGCTCTTTGCTGGTTTGGGGTTCCTGCCTCCTTTTGCCGAAAATCTGGAAAACTCTGCGTTTTTGGACGTCCTAGTTGCGAAAACGCTGGAAAACCGCGTTTTTGCGGGAAATATTGGGGAGCAAAGGGGAAATGCAAGGAAGTGCAAGGAAATGAGGGGAGGAAATAGGAAGTCGACATGAGAAAGCAGCGGGAAAGGGAAACAAAGGGGAACTGAAAGGGACATGCAAGGAACAGAAATGAAAACAAGGGGAGGTGCAGGGGGAATGAAAGGGAAACAAAGCACAAGGAAACCAATCGGCACGACGGGAGATGTCGGGAAATTATTCGCAACGAAAGACCGGGACATACATGGAAATGAAGCGGACATACCAAGAAAATGTCAGGGACATGAAGGGGGAGTTGAAAAGGCATGGAAGGGACAGGACCAGGACATCATGGGAAACGTGAAAAGAACATGAAGGGGAAATCAAGGGGAAAGCCAGTAGTGAGATGACAGTTCAGGGTCATGCAGGGGTCCCTCGTGTGTTCTGTCGTCCTCTCTCCCTCCCTCTGCTCCCCATCCTCCCCATCCCCCCAAGCCTCTCTCTCCTCAATCTCCCTCTCTCTGTCTCTCTCTCTCTCTCTCTCTCTCGCTGTCTCTGTTTCTCTGTCTCTTTCTGTCTCCCTGTCTCCTTCCTGTCCACGCCCCTCTACAGAAAAAGGGTGGCCCAATTCGAACCTCTCTACTCTCTCACTGTCTCGCTCTTTCTCTCTGTCTCTTTCTCAGTCTCTCTCTTTCTCTCTCTCGCTGTCTCTCTCTCTCTCTCTCTGTCTGTCTCTTTCTCTGTTTCTCTGATTCTGGCTCTGTCTCTGGCTCTGTCTCTGTCTCTCTCTCTCTCTCTCTCTCTGTCTCTCTCTCTCTCTCTTTCTCACTCTCTGTGTCTCGCTCTCTCTCTCTCCCTCTCTCTCTCCCGCTCTCTCCCTCTCTCTCTCTCTCTGCATTGCAGCGTCACGTCCCCCCTGAGTTGCCGCGAGTCCGGGCACTGGACAAGGGAGAGAGGAAGAAGGAGAAAAGGGAGAGGACAATGTCGGCGGACTGAGCCGGAGGCTCTAAAGTATAGAGGAGCTCCATGGAAAACACGTGCACCTGGTTTTCGGAGCCCCACCTCTGTCTCCGAGTTGGCGTCTACACAGCTCTGTTGCGAGATCTTGGCCTAGACGGGCGACAGCAAACGGACAATGTCCAAAACCAACGAGCAAAACCCGAAGTGGGTCAGTGGAATCAGTGGGATCCCTACTCCCTCATGCATAGCGGGACAACTACAAGCATTTCAGCAAAATAGAGGGACAGTTCGAAAGCCGTGAGCCAGCTGGTCTTTGTGCAAGCCCTTTTGTGCCTTCTGTTCTCGCCCAGAAGCCTGAAGACATTTGAGTCACAATCAAGACCCGGGTAGATGAAGGTTAGCAAGGGACAATCCCAACCAGAATTAGCTGCGGCCGCCTTCTTAATTCTTTGCATGGTTCTGGGTAGACCATTTTAATACCGGGTTTTGATTGTGACTCATTTGACCAACCCGAAAGGATTCGGCCGCAAGGGCCCGCCCACAGGCCTCTTCCGCACCCTCCTAGAAAGACTCCGCTTGCACGGCTTCATTCCCGCGACACCCTCAACCTGATCATTGCCTCAAGGGTGTTTTAGGGACACGTTTCAAAACCCCTCAATTTACATGTGGGTCAAAAATCGCGTGCTTAACCCGAATATGGGTTGCCCTGGTAAATGGAAAGGACAAAATCCTGTGGTCCAACTCCTCGTGTCCCTGACCAACACCTGAAGCACCCACCTGGCCCGATTTCGCAAAACAAACCTCACCTCTTTGGGAGCAAGAACCCACTATAGCTGAAGCTATCTGTGCAAAACCCCGCACGACACACGCCACAAAGTCGAATGTTAACAGCTCACGCCGCGAGAAGCAACATGCACTCAACTATTTAAGATACACTCCAAACTCAACAATCCAAAAAAAACAGAAAACAGGGGGGTACAGACCCTCTGGCAATGACCAGTATTAATTCTTGACGCTTACCTCTCGGTCGCAGTGATCTAACTGCTCAGCTTCAGTGAGCACCCCCGTCCTCGATCTCCAAGCCCACCATCAAGGACTCGAAGTCGGCAACCCTGGAAATCTCTCCGCATCCAATGCCCCGCATGCCCCGCATGCCCAACATACAAAGCGACCAAATTTGATGCTTCTGCTCCAACGTGTGGCAACCATGGCTTAGTAAACCAATATGTCCAGAGACCTCGAAATATGGCATGGCGCAACATTCCGTCGCCTCATCGCCAAGAGTTCCGCATCCTCAGCGAGCCAAACCGGAGAAGAAACACGCAACAGACGGGGCAGCGGCCTCAAGAGGCACACGAGTCTCCAATGCTACCTGCAGCTTGCAAGCGAATGACGTTAACGTATAAGGTTACAAGTGCATGTTTGTTGCAATGCGCAACATGCAAAACACCCGCAGGTCTAAACTCATCGCACTTGGAGCGCCTGCAGGTCAGCTTGAGCCTGGGTAAGATTCTCGGTAGTACCGGCCAGCTGCTTCTTGATGCGCATCAGTTCCTGCGAAGGAAGCTGCTCAGCGGGCTATGTCCCTCCAGCGTCCACCCGGCGGCCTCCTTTGTCTTTTGCAGCTCAATGCCCTGACACGTTCATGGCAGTTGCCCTACAAGTTCGGCTGCTCTGAAAGTTGCTCAACGCATGCCTTCTTGTTGGAGATTTCGGTGATCTCTCTGACCTGCTCGATGAGCACATTTTACATTCAAGCTCTTTCTCACAAGACCCTGAAGGGTTGACAACATGGTGACTCTACTTTTGGGGACCCTCTTTAAACGGCGGCACAAGGTGTCACCAGCAAAACAGGGACCATTTTCTGACAATGCGCCAGTTGCTGAGCCTGGCCTTGTCTTTGTGCCCCTGGCACACCCTCTCGAGTGCCTGCGACTTGCACACGTTGGACCCATGCCAAGCGACTGCATACACATGGCCTTGATGTCCTCAAGCAGACGTGCACATTCTTCGCCTCCGGCAAAGACCAAGACACATCGCCGACCGGGGAAGCCCAGAGGCCCAGAGGCAAGTGCAATTGCTGTTGTTGGTTGGTTGGTTGGTTGGTTGGTTGGCTGGCTGGCTGGCTGGCTGGCTGGCTGGCTGGCTGGCTGGCTGGCTGGTTGGTTGTGGTAGTGGTTGGTTGTTGTCGTTGTCGTTGTCGTTGTCGGTGTTGTGGCTGTTGCTGTTGCTGTTGCGGTTGGTGCTGGTGCTGGTTGCTCTTCAAAGCTCGAGAACATCCGTCCTCCAGCCAGGTTAAAAAGCTTTCGGCGTGCTGCAGTCTGAGCTGGCGGCGCGTGATCTTCCCTGGCTTGCCCCCCTCAAGGATCTTGTTCAATTCCTGGCGCTTCTTGGAGAACTCAGGCCTCAGCCGAAGGTTTGAGTGCATGCCAGCTCTAACTTGAAGTGCAAGTCTTTGCGAGGCACTGTGCGGTGTCCATCAGCAAATTGACTGTAAGACTCTGGCAGCTCACCGGGCTGGTCGTCACCTTTTGTCAAGAGTAAGTCGCAAAAAGGCAACGATGTGAGCAAGAACACCGGAAGATGCTGCCTTCTTTCTCCTCGTCACTTCCCTTTGACTCTGTCTTCACAACTTCCTCGATTTCACCTGTGCTGAGCAACACTCGTAACAGGAAAACTTGGCAAAGGGTATCAAACGCTGTCCTGCTTTGTCAGGGTCTCCATTGTTTGAGGAATTAGAAAGCTCGCTTCAAGAATCCTACATGCTGTACCTCAACACCGCATTTTGACCTGTGACCCTGCAGCTTTAAAACTGAGGCTACAGGTGTACCAGAGAGAGAGAGAGAGAGAGAGAGAGAGAGAGAGAGAGAGAGAGAGAGAGAGAGAGAGAGAGAGAGAGAGAGAGACAGAGAGAGAGACAGAGAGAGAGAGAGAGAGAGAGAGGCACCCTAGCAGCTGCGCCTTCTTCGGGCGTTTCAAACTCCATGGCTCCCAGCATTGGACTGAATTGAGCCACAGGCAGCTGCGTATTGGACAGAGTTGCATGAAAGTGGAAGAGAGTGCAACAACAGAGTGCGACATGCAAGGACGAGCATGGATCGGTGCACCGCAGAAACAGGACTGGACTGAAACTCTCCTCACCGGGGTTGAAACGGGGCACCACCTCGGAGCTTCAGACTTTGACCCAATCTCACGAAGCTCGGAATCTCGAAGGAAGAGCTCAAGGGACCGGAAGCCAGGCTCCACACCACCAAGAGCATAAACAACGAGGTCGTCAAATGGCCGACATCCTGGCGGTAGGATGGAGCCCATCGACTCAAATCGCGCACTGCTCAAAGATCAGATCGCCTGGGCAACTTTCTGGACGTAGTAAGGTGCGTCGCCACTCTTGTACCTGCCGCGTTCTCTTAAACCTCCGTGTTTCCTTTTCCAACCGAAGCCAAACGGCGAAAATGCGCGCACGTCTTCTCCGCTAGCGTGCCGCCCACCACGTTCATGCAAATCCAGCCCAAGAGCTGCAGCAGCCTCTTGCGACACGAACGCGCGCGGACGTGGCGGTGTGCGATGCGGCTGAGGCCGGAGCCCTGCCCACTTCCAGGGCTTCCCCCCGCTCTCCCTGAAAGCAGAGGCTGAGGGTTTTTTGGGCCGGTTTGATGGTTTGGCCGCTGCCTCCCCTTGCCCTTGAACTGGACAAACAGCCTCTGGCAACGAGATGCCATAGTGGCATGGAGTGGTGTAGTGTGTGGAGGTTCGCAGCAACTGAGTTGCGGACGCGCAAAAAGCTGTCAGGCACGCAATGCATGACCATTTCTGCCATGAGTATCTGCACAGGCATTGCAATGCCCAGATCCAAACGCAGAGATCGAACCAGATCCACTCCTTCGAGACATTATGAAGGTGGAAGCCACTGCCACCAAAGCAAGCCTCCCGGCGTGCCGTGTGAGCGGACAGAATCACTTAATTACTCGCTTGCCCATCGGGGAAGTTGGCAGGATTTGGGGTCAACGGGTCTCCCTTTCTCGTTCTCCCCTTTTGCCAGCTCATGTCAAATTGTCTGAGCTTGCAGCCGAAACTGGCCCATGATCTTGATGGTGCCAGCCTTCGAGCCATGGAAATCAATGAATTCTGCCGCCAGAAACAGCATGCTTCCAAATGGAAACTAAGCTGGGTGGGTTCCCCCTGTCCTCCCTTCAAACGACAACCCTATGCCCTTCTTCAGAGCGATACCATCTCAAATCTCGGCTTAATCGTGAACTTCCAGTGAGGGTTTGGTCCGGCAGAACGCTAGCGGCCTTCACAAACCGGGGCAAACCAGCTCGACTCCATTGCTTGTGCCATGAGGCGGAACCATGACATGAAGAAAGCAACAAGTACTCGGATGACTTAAAGGGCTCGTTCGCCGACGCTCCGCGCCTGAAAATGGTTCACTGCCATCATCTTCAGCGACAGGCCAACCGCAAAGCAAACGGCCACAGGGAAGAACTCGGCACGGGCGTGAGTGGATCCCTTTGGGGCTCTGTCATGTGTGCCCGTCGTGCTTCCTCTTTTGTGCGGGGGAAACCCGGCCCTTGAAGGGCTGAAACTGGGGGAAGCCGTTGCTGACTTCAAGGTTCACCATTCACCGTGGCACAGAGAGAGAGAGGCTCCGCCGAACCCGCGCGTCCGAGAAACATTTGGGCGAGGCGCGCGGACGACCAAAGGCCAAAAAGCGACAAGTCCTTCAGTGCCAAGGAGAGTTGCCAGCGAAAGGCCTCCACAGAAATGGATGTGTGACACTGCGCATGGACGAAAGCCTGCACCACCTAAGAAACCCTGGAATGATTCGATAAACCTGTAAATACCAACAAACGATGGCTCCCGGTGCAGGATTTCGTCCACTGTATTTCTTGAGGCGACGCCCCAACTGTCATTTGGGCTTCCCTTCAAATGAACCCAAAAAAGGTGTGATCAAAAATGCAACACGGCCGCAAAGAAAAACTCTGGTCTGCACAAGCAGAGGAGTCGCCTCAAAGTAGCAGAGAGGAACAACTGCCAAGAAGGTCATGATTTTCCTACATGGCCATGGGTCAAAAGCCCGTACCCCAGTAGTGAACATCCCGATCCCCCCCCTAAAATAGACTAAAATGGGTGGTGCACATACCCAAAAAAACAGCCACATCACACTTGCAAATCACCACCGGCCTGTTACGACCGACAGCCCAGACTCCATGACCAAGGCAGTCTGCCGGGCATACCTCAAAACAAATATCTCGGGTCGTTCTCCAAATTGGGGACGCTTCAGGTGGCTGGTTCCTCTGGGTTGCCCTGTAAAACCCACCAAGCAAGGGGCCCCCTGTTTCGAGAAACAGCCCAGTGTGCCAGCTCTCTGGAAAGGCACGAGCGCCCGACTGCCGCCCAACGCGGTCTTTCATCCAGGACCTCTTCTCGGCCCAGTCCATCACCAAGGCCTGGCTGCCACCGACATCCGGGCTCAGGGCCTTGGCTCTCTGTGGATCAAACATCAAATAGCCACCGAAATACGGGGAAAACGGAAAGGATCCAAAACCTATGGTCCAATTCCTGGTGGCTTCTTTTTAACCCATTCATGGGTGGAAAATGAAAGGAATCAATCCTGCGGTCCATGTTTGCGGTCCACCCCACGGGCTCCCAAAGCAACACCTACTCGAGTGCGAACGCTCAGCGCCTGCCCACAATCCACAAGGATGAAGAGCACCAAAAGCACTACACGCGGCAAATGCACACCTGGCAGTCACGTTGCCCTGGAGTTCAGGAGGGCAGCTTCTTGGAGGTGCAACAAAAATGGCTGTGGGCCAAGAAAGGCCATTTTGGGAACCTTGGTAAATGGAAGCCTGAACTAAAACCTGCAGATTTCTGGTAGTTTCATGTTGACCCGCACCCAAATGAGAACCTTCTTGCAACAAAGGTAGATATTTGAGGAACAATTCACGGCTAGAGGCATTCTGATTCTGCCCACAGCGGTGCTTGACATCTAGAGGGACATGCCCACTAGGGAACAGGCTGTGCGTGACAGCAAACATATATAGAAAGCGGATGAAAGCGGGTTAAGTGAGACTCGGCATCCAGAGGCCAGCCAGGATGTACCAAAGAAGAACCCTAGTTCACCTCTGGACAACGCAGTTGCAAAGCTCGAGGTAGTAGTTATCAGGATCCCGGAGAGACGTCATGGCTCGAGACAGAGAAAGTGAGACACAGAGAAGCTTCCAGCCTGCAAAATCAACCTTGACTCACAATGTCTACGGCTCAAGTTTTGGATGATCGAGTGACTTGCAGGAAAAATGTTCAAGACTCAAAAAGGGCCTGAAAACGGGTTGGAATGCTTGCAACATGCTCGGAAAAGCCGGATCATCCGGCTGAGTGCCTGCCGCCACGTGTGGAGCGGCCGCCAAGGCCGTAGCTCTCGGTCCTCACGATTTCTTTGGGAAAATGCCGAAGTGGGCCAAGCGCCGCACAGCGCCGCAGAGCGCCGCTGGTTTTGACGTTCGCGGAAAAGCCGCGAGCTGAAATGAGATGTTGCTCTATCGCGCGAAGCGCGCTCAGCCCAGGATTGGATTGCCGTCACCTGGCGTGCACGAGCAAGGCGACGGCAAATGGACACATGTGGTGATTCTGCGCGCCGTCCGTGTCGACTCCAAAGTCATCGAGACCTTTCAGGCGATGCAAGGCTTCGAGTGGAGTGACATGGCTGTGGGTCAAAACGCAGGAAACTCCTGGTGAACATCAAAATAGGTGGCAAATGGATGGTAAAATGGAGCCATAGGTTCTGGCCCATGGCCACATCTCAGGTCGTTGCGAGATCGGTTGGCAGGTGTCAGCGTTGCTGACCTCAGCGCCTGAGACTGACTTCCGTGCTCAAGGTCTGAGCTGCCGAGGCTCTCGCCTGGACCTCCGAATCCCAGAGCTGCGTGCCGAAGCTGGCAGCTTCAAGCAGAAGCCTCGACGCGCAGGGAGTGTTGCTGCCGGAGGGGAAAAAAGAAGAAGAAGAAGAAGAAAAAAGAAAAAAGAAAAAAAAAAAAAGGAACCATCTCGCACCTGCGGACGTCAGACACGTAGAGATAAACAGCAGCCACCTGACGGTTCGATCTGTCACAGTGATGCAACCCCCCGAAAGCCGGCTCTATCTTTAGGGTGATTTCAAAACGACCTTGCAAACCTTGAGTACTTTTCCAAGGGCGACGTTGACTCTCCTACGGATTCACACGCCCCTTGAGGTTTCTTCCGTTTGTAACTGTTTCAAGTTCAAACCTGTCAACCAGCGCACCGCTCTTCGCCCGTCCATCGCTCCTCCCCGCAGTTCACCGCATCCTGCAAGGCCTCCCCCGTGCTCCGAGATTTCCTGGCGGACGAGGCTTTGCCGCTTTGCTCGTCCGCACCGGGCGCTTCGGATCGAGGCGAAACGATTTCGCCTCTTGGCAAGGGCACTGGCCAGGTGTCCTGGCAAAGAGAATGGTGGATGCGGGTCAAAAAAAAAGGCACCCTAAATGGAACCCTGGTAAATGGAAACAACGACTAAAAGCTGCCTGGTGGTTTAATTTTGATCCATACCAAATTGTCGATGTGGAACACTCTCTTGAAGGGGCCGAAAAAACCAGCGCTCAGTCCTCTAAGCACTTGCAAGTCTCCGAACAAGGCTTCGACCTGCATCTTGGAAGCGATGTGCGCTTCCACAGACACCATCGCATCCTCGCACGGCCGGGGCCCCAGCTGCGTTTTTTGTTGCAAAGGCCAGGCAAGGCGTCATATGAATCCCAAAGGTCCTGAAACATGCCCGGGCCAATGCTGCTCACGTAACTTTGCAAGGAACGAGATCCTGGCATTCGGGTTCGGAACGAGCCCTGGTGAGTCGAGCTCGGCTCCTCGTAGCTTCTCCGGCTGCAGGCTCCTCTCCAGCTGCAGGCGCGACTCCGCTCGCTTCAGGACCTCACACCATGAAAACCGGCGCATTTCGAGTCGCTTCCGGGAATCCGCGCGTATCCGTACTGCAGAGTGAGGGCGTAAGCTTGGCCTTCCATGAAAAGCGGTTGACTCCGCGGATTCGGATGTTGCGATATGTTGCGATATGTTGCGATGCTGCCACGAGCTCAGCCAGCTGCCGATGTTAAAGAACGGAAGCTGAACCTGGCACTTGCCCAAGGCTTCCGCCTTGCGCTGAAACAAGCCGGAGGGACCAGCTGCGTCAGAACGGCGGATGAAGCCCTGGCGCAATGATCCGGGGAAGACTTTTCAGCCGAAACACAGCATACTGGGCCGCCGACGCTGCCATCCCTCCCGGCATGCTTTGTGCCAGGTGATCCTGAAAGAAGCATGGCAAGACATTGGATAAGCTTTCTGAAAACGCAGTGAAGTTGAGCAGTGAGTCCCAGTCTTAAATTCGGTGAAGCATCGCTTTGCACCCTACACTCTGACGCCGATATACGTGCTTTGTTGCATGAATGGTCACTTGCGCAACCCCATGCAAGGGCCTTCCGCAAAGCTTCCAAAAACCGGCCGGGCGCTTCTGCAAAGTCCCATGGGAGGTATCATTGAGAAACCGCCAGCTCGCAACATCTCACATACCCAAAAATGCCAAACAGCCTGTACCTGTGGAGCACCTTTCGTGAAAACACGCTTCGCATTCTACGTGAAGCCCGGTCGCACTTTCTTCCATGTGGTGCTTTCGTTGTGCGAGTCCCTCAGTTTCCAATGTGGCTGTGGGTCAAAACCCTGTACCCTTGGTGAGTATCAAAATAGGTGGTACATGGATTTTCATCCGCCCTAAAATGGAGGCATAGGTTATGACGCATGGCCATGTAACTCCACGGGATTTGTTGTTGCCACGCGACGTCCGAAAGCCCAACCTCAATGCCCTCCAGCATCTCAGCAGAGTGCAACCTCGCGAGAGCACGAATGCGTCTGTCCTTGCCTTGTGGCTGTTTTTCAAGGGAACTCCGGAAGAAACCGGGCCATGGCCTCATTTGGGTTGAAGGTGCAAGCGTCAAAGTGCCAATATCATGCATGGCAACCCGTAGTGAAAATTTAGGCACCAAAAATAAGAAAGCGAGAAATATGAAAACGCCCATAGGCACGCGCCATTGCAGTTAGCGACACGTCAGCCGTAGTCAGGATCCACCAAATCGGTGGCGGTGATAGGGAAGTGCAAGCACCAGGAAATGATTGGGTTTTCTGGGCAGTAAGCCACTGTTGAGAGCGCTGGATGTGGAGATCAAGCGCTAAACATGGTAGGGGACAGGGGTCTGTACTCGTGTTCAGGGTTGGCTCCGCACCTCATCCGGCTAAAATGCGCGGGGACCCCATTATGTTGGTTGACAAAATGCAGTCCAGGGTTTGGCTAGAATGCGCCGGCACCCTAATAAAATGCGGACACCCAGACCCCATGGAAAACAAAAAGGCCAGGCTGACCACCGCATTTTATCCAGATAAAATGCACTTTGTGGGCCATAAGGCACTTTAGCCTTACCTATTGCCGTTTTTTGCTCAGCTTGTATCCTGATTGCCCTTGTCTGGTCGCAGCCTGGTCGCAGCCCTATTTTAGGGGCCAATCCCCTTCAGGATTGTCGATCCATGGGCAAGGAGCCTGGGCCACCCCTCAACAAGGGTATGATCTTTGTCCTGGTGGCTCCTTTTTTGGTTTAAGTGTGTTTTGTCAAATTTTGTTAGCAGAAATTGGGTCTCAGGATGGCTTGAAACATGCAATATCCAAAATGGCCATTTTCTTACTATAAGCATTACTGGGGGCACTCAATATATGCCTCGAAAGGCTAGGGGCGATTTTCGGCAACAGGTGCTTTGTCTTGCTGCTTTGACCTTGCGTGGCCGCCTGCATCTCAGCCAGTCAGTACAGACCCCTAGGGGGATGTGGCTCTGCCGCAAGGCTCCGAGCGCAATGAATTCTCCCCTCTGATTCCACCAGGCCGGTCGACTCACCGAACGCATCCGGGTCTATTGACAGGAAACAGATTGTCTCCTTGATCAGAAGTGAAGATACTGGTCGAACCCATCTTCAGCCTTTCTCGATCGCGGTCCCTTGTGATGGTCCCGACTTGCAGCAAGGGGCAAGAAGAGCATCTTTGTGAAAACAGGTGGTAGAGCTTTAAAGTGCCGGTCTGCGATGTTCAGTGCAAGATATTCTAGAAAACCCAGCGTCTGGGTGATTGCACGTACTTCGTGCCACGGGATCTCCGCTGTGGGCTCAGTGTTCCTCTACGGGTGCTTTCCTGGCTGGTTCTTCTGCGGTGATCTTCCGGCGCTGGGACCTACTTCACCTTTCGAGGGTTTCTCAGGACCTTTTGGCCCCGCATTACATCTCCACTTTGTGCCGGCGGCAGCGTCGGTTTAGGTCTTTGGCGGCGCCGCTATGCTCTGGCTTTTGTGTTTTTTGTTATTTTCTTTGTTTTCCGGTGGCCTTTGCCTTGAGCTGGTCGCCGCGCTCGGTCCAAGCCAGGCGCATGCCGCTGTGCGCAAGACGTGCATTGGTTGGTGAAAAATTAGAACTTTAGAAGCCCAGAAATGCGAGCCAAAGAAACACGGAGTGTACAACGTGGGATATATAGACGGTGATCTACACCAAGCGCTCCGAAGATTGACCTGTTGAAGCAGAACAGCACTCCCGGAAAGAAGTGTGGGCAACTCAGCACCTAAGGGTAAGCTGTGGGATGTGGCAAACAACAAAATGACAATTGACTGTGGGTCAAAAATATGTACCCCAAATGGAATCCTGGTAAGTGGAAACATGACCAAAACCTGCGGTCCCCTGGTGGCTTAATTTTGACCCATACCCAATTAATGAAGGGCTACACAAGGCACGTGGCGAACAAAAGGCGAGTAAAATGTCAACTGCACCAAGCGCGCAACAATCATCAGTTGCTAGGGAAGGAGCTCGAGGATGGATTGGGCGGAGCCCTCTCCCAGATCAGCACGTCCGCCGGCCTGGCGTGCAAGTGAGGTGCTTGCCGCAATCCGTTGACCCGTGACCTGCAGTGGCATGGCCATCGCGTAGCCAGCAGCGCGAAATCTGGCGCGTGTTGACAAGTCACTGGCAAAACCGCAAGCAGAGGCAAGCCTGTCGCAAACCATAAGGTACAAAAGCTCGGACCTGGGCAAATGAGCAAAAACGCATAATCTTACAGCGGTTCGGCAGCACGGGCCGCGACAAAGCGCAGCCCCGCTCAGATCGCCGCACCTCGCGAAAGGTGGAAAGGAGACTGCGCAGAATCAAAGGGCCAGGCCTCTTCAATGCGCTGACGCAAAACATTCAAGTCCTGGTACAGATCGCACATATGTCCCAATATGGCCATGGGACAAAAGCTAAATCGTACCCCCAGTGAACATCCCAATCCAACCACTATATTACACCTACCCCAAAATGGTACAGTACCATTGGTTTTGACCCACAGCCATATGTGCGGAACCTGTTGGACTGGTTGAGCAAATAGAGAAAAAGCCAGGCAGAACGGTCCTCGGTCACCTCCGGTCTCTCTTTGTCAACCTAACAGCTTAGCTTCACATGTCAAGCACTGTGTGCAAACCCAGCCTCGGATTCATCGGACAAGGCCGCCAGCTCCGTCTCCAAACTATCCTGGACATATCTCAGGGCCGAAACTCGTGCCACAACTCGAGTGCCTGGAAAAGCGCGGGGTTCTCCAACAAAAGCCTCAGCTTGGCAGGTGATACAGTCAGGCAATGCGCTGACCTCTCTCAGATTCCGGCTGCCTAGCCTTCTGCCCCTGAAGGCTCACAACCTGCGATAGGAGGCCTCAAATGGACCTTCCATACGGCGTGGCTTCAAGTGCCTTCCCTTGAAAAATGGCTAGACAAACGAAAAGGCGTACCAAATGGACCAAGCAACCTCTAATGGCTCCTGTGAAGCAGAACCACTCACATCGACCCCTGATTCATCCCCCGCCCTTCTGCTGTGAAAGCAGTTCCCCTTGTAGTTGGGATTCCGGGATTCCCACAACTGGGGGGGGGGGGCCAATCAGAAGTCAACGTTGAAAGCGGTCAGTTCCTCTTTTGCGGTGCCAAGCACTTCAACAAAAGCAGAGGGTACCCTTCAGCCAATCGTTCCGGCCTTCGCTGGCACAGGCCAAGCTCCTGACAACTCGAACCAAGTCTAAGAACGGGAGGCTTCTGGAAGATGTTTGGGGGATTTTGGTGCTTTGGGGATTCTCAACAGCCACCTAGGAGTTGGGGAGTTTGAAGGATTTTCAACTGAAGATCGCAGCTTGCCGATAAAAACCGAGCCTTGCGCTGCTCTGGCAAGGCGAGACCTGAGATAGGGCGCTTGAGCGCTGCCTCTGCATCTGCTGCGTGCCTTCTTTTTGTGGCTGCAGGCTCCACAAAGACCTGCGGCGAAGCCAACTAATTCCGAACCCGATCTCTCGCAAGAAGCTAAGCGAGCGGCATAGGCACACCTGACGTGGCAATTTGGGTGGCAGAAACCTACTCACTGCCTTCTCACCTCAGGCGCGTGCTTGGTGCTGAGCAGCCACAGGCCAAAGGCTATTGAGATCAACTCAGCGAGGCGCGCTCTGATCTCAAGGTTCACCCGACTCGCACGACTCGCGGGACTTGCGAGTCATCTGGGCTTGGCACTGCCAGGAACATCAAGCACTAGAGAGCGCCATGCACACTGTCTCACCCTCCAGTCATGGGCTATTGTCTGTCTGAGATGTGTTCTGCACAGGCATATCCGCAGAGCCCAAGCTGAAAAGCTGCGGAGTTCGAAGCCGTGCCAAGCCGACCCGTCGACCCGTCGACCCGTCCACATCCGTCCCGCCCCCCCTCTTGAGCGTCCTCGCGGCGCTGCCTGCCCTTGGCCATGATTCGCCTCACCACCCGAGGCGAAGACTCAAACAAATGCATGTTGCAGCGACAGGCGCCGTGGTTCAGTCGTTCAGAGCTCCAAGACATGTTGCAAACCATGGCTCATTGAGAGGGCTCTCCTTCTATGGGCGCGTGTGGAAAAAAGCTTTGCTGTTTTTACAGGGATTCGCGAGCTCGCCAGAAAAGATGCAGACTCATCACAGTTCGAACCAAACCATGGTTCAAACTTCAAACCATGGTTCGAACCATGGCAACTGGCGAATCTTCAAAGCACAGCTTCTCTGCAGCAGGGCCACCAAAGTGCACTGCGCGAACCTCGCGAGGGACAAACTCTGAGGTCCAGCCCAGCCGGCATTGCCATTCTCAGGCGGAGGCACCAGCCGCGGCGGCAAGCTACTCCTCGGATCGAAAGCCGCTGGCGGCCACTCTTACGTCTCTTTTTCTCCCCGGCCTCGGCAACGCGGCGGCGGTGTTTCCGCGCCTCGCATCGGTTCTGTCTGGACCCGGTCGTTTTGCTCCAAGCCTGGCCTGGCAATCAAGCCCGCGAGGGCGGAGATCCCTACGATCCGCAGGCGCGACAGCCTGGCGCCAGGCTGCGTTCTCAGCGACTCCAGTTGCAGGAGCTGAGCGCAGGGCTTCCATGCCCTCATCGCAGCTCAGCCTCAACCGAAACACTCAGACCTCCCAACTGACCAAAGGCCGCCTGAAGAGACAGGCATGCAAGGCGCATCCAAATGCTCCAGGCCGGAAAGATCTTTGCACTCTTGCGAAAGCGGCTCAGCTGGACATGATCTTTTGAGTTTGCCGGAGTTGAGCCGGCACAAAGAAGGGCAAACTCCATGTCTGCCATGTGATGCTCAAAATGGTTTCTTTGTGAAGAGGCAGGAGCACACCCTTGTGTGACAATGAGGAATGAAGTATGTCTCAATGGTAGACAGCTGGGCTTGCAAAGCGAGCGGCAACTGATGGTGCAGGCACAATCTGGTTCTGGAACTAGCATCATTAGGGACGATCCAGGCCACCCTGTAAAAGTTGTATGAGGTTTGGGAGGGTTCTGACATGAGGCTTTCCATGTCTGCTTGTCATCGCCCTGCAGCTTTCACTATTTTCACAAAGAGACGTGTTGACAAGCTGCCTTTGGCAGCTGCAACGACCCTCACGCTGTTCGGCCCTGCCATATTGGCTCTACTCGGGCTGAGGTTGTCCAGGAAGAACGTCCAACCCGTTGCTCTCGCCAGCCTCTTCCATCAGCCTCATTTGCTTGAAGGTGTGGCACGCGACAAAAGTTGAGGTGCTTCCGAATCCGAATCTCGCTCGCATCTCGTTCGCCTGGTCCGCAGGGTCCGCAGCAGGCGCTGCAACCGCGGCGTGGCCGAGGGACTCGCCTGTGCGACTCGTACGAAGCGAGGCTCTTTGAGAGGCAGCTGTGGCCATTGCCTGCACTGCCACAGTCTGCTGGATGGCCCTTGACAAAACCTTCTTGGCCTCGGCTCACGACACTTCCCAGTCCAAACAAAAGATGCCCCCCGCCTCGGCAGGGCTGTCCAGGAGCTTGTGCACAGCCGCCTGTGAAGCCAGATCGATTCCATGGCGTCAAGTCAGCCAAAGCTCACGCCTGAAGCTGCAAAGTGAGGACTTGGCTGCAGTGCAAGGCCAACCACCATTCCTCCTGCCGTGAATGCGGTGACTTGACGCGCCATGGCTCTTTGGAAGCTTGCCGGGATCGGAGCCCCCAACCTCCGCTGTCGCATAGCTTGGCGGTTTTTTGTGCGGCGCTGCGGGTGTTTTCTGTGAGCCCAGAACAAGTGACTGGCTCCAAGCCAAAAGACTCCCTGAACGTTCAGTTGCTTCAGGTGCGCTTCCTTTAGTTTCCCTGAACCATGTCGGAATGCCCCCCCTCCCTCTCATCCCCTCCCCTCCCCTCAAAACCAAAGAGAACCTTAAGACAAACCCATGACTCTCCGTCCTCCTTGTCCAGAAGCTGTAGCCTTTGGTTTGCGGAAATCTCGGCCTGTCAGTGAGATGAACAGCGCAACATCTCTCAATCAGCGTCTCTCCTGAAGGGACCCTTCATTTGTGGGCGTCCTTTTGGTAAACGCCTTAAACGCAGCCTCTAATTTGGGAGTTTCTCAAAGTGATGGACCCCCTGGTTGGCCGATACGGGACTCTACTGTTGAAAGGACCATTTGAGGGAAACCCCATGAGCCAGTGGCTTGCCTTGAGACTGTCTTTCAGAGTGCCTCGTACAGCCGGACCGCATCTTTCAGCAGGCGACGTGCCTAAAGTCGGATGCACGGCAATGCCTGTGAGTGGGTTCGACTCGAATTGGAAAACCCCAACAGTGGTGGGTTGTCGTTTGGCTTTCCTGCAAACAAACAAAGCAAAAAGGTGACCTCAAGAACCACACACAACATGTCGAGAAAGAGAGAGAGAGAGAGACACACGCACAAATGACCCCAGCACGCCCTCCAGATCTAAGTTCCAACACGGGAGGGTGCGGCCGCTTGTTGCATGAATGGCGCTGCGCTCGCGCGTGAAACAAACGCTTCTGCGAGGCTTTTCCATGGCGAATTCGCCACGGGAGCCCATCGAGGTCATGAGCCTCAAGGATGGAATTCCTGTAGTGCTCATGGGCACTAAGGACGGCTCCAGTCACCGGCCCCGGGCACCAACCACAACCACAAAACATGCTTTGATGAAGGTACGGATGAGCCGGAAAACGAGGCTGAAACTTGCTCTCTTGAGAACTCAAGCTGCTTGGCAGCTGAGCTAAGGTAAGGAAGAACGAGTCTTCCATCTGAAGCGCACAACGATTCCTTTAAACAACATCCGATTGGGAAAGTGGCTCGACCAAGCTTCATGGATTCAAATGCACTAGTCTTGATCCGTGAGGCGAAGCTTGGGACAGGCGGTCTGACAACCAATTCACCTTTGTTCCAGACTCATTAGCGCCTGCAACCTCAGCTCACGCGCTTTTTCAGATTCGCACTGGGAAAGCTGAGCTGGGCTTGGCTGCTGGGCTGGGCTGGGCTGCGATGGGCTGGGCTGCTGGCGGGCGATCGTCATATCGATCTGACACGATGTTCTCCAGGACTTGCAAGCTGTCCTGGGGATTGCGGAAACTCGTCTTGTTGCACCACAACCGCAGCATCTCCTCTTCGTTTAGTAGAGGACCGTCGTCCTGTTTGCATTTTTTCCGGCAGGTGCAGTGGGCATTGGCAGTGACAACGGAGTCGTCGGATTCAGAATTCTCAGGCACCTCCTCCTCCTCGTCCTCCTCCTCGTCCTCCTCTTCGTCAGAATCATGCAAAGGTTCCTGCAAGTGGCCGCAGGCGCTTCACACGTACAGTTCAGAGACAAAAGCCTTAGCCCGGGCAACTCCAGCCTCTTCGCGCTCAAAGCGCATCACCTGAAGCACAAGCACCATCAGCTCAGAAGCTCAGAAAGCCGGCCTCACAAGACATCCAAGCTCGCCACGATGCCAGACTTGCCCTCGCGGAAGAGGACGCCGCCGTTCACCCACACTCGGCCCTTGATCAGGTACAGGCTGCTGCCATCCTCCGAGAGCTTCCACTTCTGGCCGGCAGCGTCGATGCACCTGCTCAACCCGGGTTCCACTTGTTGACTGCCTCCAACTAGACTTAAACCTAGGGGTTCTCCTTTTTGGGGGAATGAACCACCCCTTGGTCTAAGTCTACCCTGTAGTCAAAAAGTGGAGCTGGGCTCACCCGCCTGCCTCTGAGCGAGGCGCGAGGCGAAACGGGCGAGAGGCGAAACGGGCCTCGCCTGTCTCCCACGAAGGTGAGGCGATGCATGAAGCTCTGCGCGATGCCGATGAACTGCTGGTCAAGAGCCTCGAGCGCCAAACCGGCAACATCAGTGGAAAGAGCCAAAAAACAGAAACGGATCGGAAAGAGCTGGTTTTGCCTCAAATGTTCTGATCTGACATGTTTCGATTTGGGCCCGGGCCCAGGTCCCTTGCAGTGACTCCAGAGAGGACGCGGTCTTCCGGCGATGTCTTCGTGGCCGGAAGTTGGCGCAGGCCAAGGCGTCGCGCTGGTCGTCGTCCAAGGGATGCGGCGGCTTGCTGCAGCACCTGCACCGAAAGCCCTGCTGCGCCCAGGAGACGGAAGTCCCGACCTCAGAAAGGAACCCGGCGCGAAGTGAAAAACCGGCAGGGATTCTGAGATGACCACACACTTGTCCTCCGTGCCGAACATGGCATCTGTCTGGGTCGCTCCATTTTTGCTCAGAAAGTGGCTGAAGCCTGGAATGAAGTCTGCGGCCCTCTCTTGGCATCTTGGGCAGAAAGCCACTACAGCCCCCAGACTCCACACCGCATCAAATGGTGAGCTTCAATGAGATGTGAACTAGTTGGATTATTGGCCTCTGTCTCTCTCAACCACATCATGCATGCCCTGCCTGATGAGTTGTCGTCGCAAGAGGTGGTGTAGCAAAGGCTGGCCGATCTTGCTACCGCATCCTCACTGCTGAAGCCCGAATATTCCACATTCCTCGCAGATGTCAGAGATCCATGTTTCACTCACAGTCAGTGCCTGCGCATGCTGGTACAAGTCCTGAGCTTGTGGGCAAGACTTGGCTGAGCATTGTCGTCCAGGGCGGGTGGCGGCTTGTCCTCGGCTGTGCCCAGCACTCTGCCGCTTTTGTCAGGCAGTTGACTCGGACGCCAAGTGCCGTCCAAGGATCTGGAGCTTTTGGTTGAGCTGGTGTAGGAGGACTGGTCGGGACCACCTGTTGTAGTCCAAAAGGATGACCTTCTTGCAGGTCCTGCAAAGGACGCCGTTCCCCGAATCCTGATGTCTATGGAACTCACGTCCTCTCTTGTGCTCCATTGCCTCGCGCCATTCTCAAGACAAACCGATGAGACAAGCACCCGAGCAGTGCCCGAGCGGAGCGCCTGTCACATTCCACAGACGGAGCGTGGGACGTCAGCCTGAGGCCGGGCTCGCATGGAATGCCAACGCCTTGGCCAACCCCTGCCTCAGACCAACCAGAAAGTGTTTGCCTCACATGGCCGTGGGTCAACACCGATGGGATCCCATTTTGGGGTAGGTGCACCACCCATGGTAGTCTATTTTAGTGGGGGTTGGGAGGTTCACTCGGGGTACGGGGTTTTGACCCATAGCCACATGAAAGGAAAGCTGTGACTAGCTCATTTTGTTGCACCCGACCTGGCTGCCCATGGTACATGATCAGCAAATCCGCGGGCTTCTCCCTGTCCTGTCACTCCAGCACGAAATGGGTGGTTTTCTCTTTCTGGCTGGCTTGGTGGTGCCTGCTTCTTCAAACCAAACGGACATTTGAGTCATAATCAAAACCCGGTATTAAAATGGTCGACCCAGAACCATGTAAAGAATTAAGAAGGCGGATATCCGCAGCTATTTATGGCAAGGGGATTGGCCCTTGCTCACCTTCATCTACCCGGGTTATGGTTTTCATTGTGACTCTATTGCCTCGAACATGAGAGTCGCCGTCATTCTCCGGGGTATTCGAGACCCATCCTGAGCGCCGCAAGTTTCAGATCATGCAGAACTCAAAAATATGCAAATCTTGGTGACCCTCTGGACATAACTTTGGCTGAGGATTTATGTGGATCTTCTCTCAAATATCCAGGCTCTTCAGCTGGGTCCCAGGCGGTTTGCTTGCAGAGCTTTGCAAACTTCTCCCTGTCGATCAGTCCGAAGCCAACGCTTCGCAAAGCCCTGGAGCCCCTAGGCCTCTCTTTCTCGCTGATAAAGTCGGTCAGGCATTCGCCGGTGATGTCGTCACCAAAAAGAGCCCGAGCGGACCGAGATCCGGCGGAAGCCACACGGAGGTCCTGCCGGCCGCAGCTTTCGCACTTGGGTGTGGCTCAAAATTAGAGAGCTGGCGTTACGCAGGTGTCAATCTTTGGTTCCATTTACCAAGGTGCGTCTTTTTGGTGTGTCTACTGGAGCCACAGCCACTTCACTCCTGCAGGAGACCCAACACCAAGCTGCTGCCGTAGTGTCTGAAGATTTTGAAGTCACGCGCCAAGGCAGCCTGACTTCACACGCGCAGCCTGCTCCGCACGCGCGCCCCGCAAGCCGCAGGTTGAGCCCGTGCCTTGGAGAGCTCCTTCTTGGCTAAGGCCTGGCGTTTCGCCAGGCGCGGTTGTTGTTTCTTTGACTGGCTTTGGCTTTTTGGGAACCCTTGCCTCTCGCATGAATCGGTCCTGCCACTTTCAACAGCGCTGCTCTCTGCAAATGCGGCAAAGATGCTCTCGATGCGTTGAGCCTGCGAGGCGCCCCGCAGCCACCGCTCGCGTCGGACGTGCTCAGCATGATGAGCACTTCCTCAGTGCCACAGCTTGGCTGGACTCGATTTGCAGTTTCTTGAGCCCCTGGCTATAGGAAGACGCTAGAAGGAAAAACACCATGACCACGTTGAGAAAACGAGGTATGTGTAGCAAACCTGCGGTGGCAATGCAAAAGGCTGGCAAGGCTACAGCAGAGGCGGCCGGCCTTGTGCTGGCAAGGCTACAGCAGTGCTAATGGCCTGGCCGGAATCCAAGTCAGTCAAGAGCTGGGCATGGGTCAAAATTAGACCCCAGGGGACCGCAGGTTTTAGTCCATGTTTCCATTTACCAGGGTTCCATTTTGGGTACCTATTTTTGACCCACACCCAGCTAGGCCAAGGATCGGCCTGAACCAGAAAGGCCACCGTCTCCAGCACCACAATTGGAAACAGATAGCAGCATCGCATCGGCAGCACATGGCAAGCGATCGAGACAAAGGCCTCAGAGAACTCAAAAAATAATAAGTAATGCAACCCAAAGCAACCCAAAGAAACACGTGATACGGCTGTGGGTCAAAAATAGGTACCCAAAATGGAACCCTGGTAAATGGAAACATGGACTGAAATCTGCGGTCCCCTGGTGGTTTAATGTTGACCCACACCCATACAACAGGAGCATCCTTGAGAGCAGGACAACAGAGAGGAGGACTGCAGACATTTCTATCTCCACGTCCACGCTGCCCAGCCTCAAAAGACATCTCATCTTCAACTTCCGATCACCGGGTTTCGATCAGCCTCATCCCAAGCCAGGCTCGGCCTTGCCGGCCCTGAAACAATGCTGCCTCAGAGTTGTGCGGGCCGAAAAAACCCAGAAGCTCTCGTGGCTCAGAGTTCCAAAGAAAAGCGCGGCTCAGCTCATGGGACCGTACAATGATGTCAAGAGAGACTGCACAAGCCCAAAGTA